TAAGGTATCTAACATCACTTATTCTATGGATCTTTGGCTTTACTCCCGGCGAGATAGTAGGGACATGTTTAATTCATCTCAGCAAGAAATTACTGTGCTGTTCGAGCATATTCGGGTATCTACTGCAGCTTTCGTCTTGTTGTGTAAAGGGTAGGTAGGTAGGCGGGCATATATTGTAATTCATACCTACCTACCTATCTATCTACAGAAGTATTAGTTAAAGATTGAGCATTAGTTCCGTTTACTTACCGACCCGTTTACTTCCCGACCCGATTGATATATATAGACTCATCCCATTTAAAACCCCAAGTCCATCTCAATCCATGAATCCATCTTGATTTTCGATTCCATCCAAACATTGAAGTCGATTCACTGCCCATCCACCTTTTTCTCAAAATCTCAGCACCTCCGGATCGCTTCTCCTCCGCTTCGTGTAGATATGATATGATATGATCTCTGGTTCTCCTTTTCATCTCAATCACTAGTAAATCATAGAAGTATCAATACATATAATTCTTTCCGAAAAACTCAGCAACTGTAGTCTTGGAACTGGATTCTACTTGATTGGAAAATCCTGAATCTACTAAAGCAGTACATCTTAGGGGAAATATTTTTTTAGAGATACCGAGATGCAAGTTTGCTTTGGGATATTATTCATGGAGCTCGGTAGGTCGTCTCATTATTCGGGACTGCGGTTTGATATTCTGGAGCGTCGGATTTCTACCTCTAAGCAGAATATTCACTTATTCTCACATATTGTATATATTTCGATGCATGTTGGATTGTCTTTAGATACCTACCTACCTACCCACCAAAAGCACCTAATTATCAGACTTTAATCTGATGGTTTAAATCATTAAACAACCATCCTTCTCGAATTTGCATACTCGAAGTAAACATCACGACTAAGCTCCAACGAGCCAGAAAACGCAAGTCCAACACCCGCATCGCGTGCGAGTCTTGCACTTTCGTACTCAGCGCTAGATTCGTGGTTAGAAGTTGACTGTCTATGCTTATGCTCATGCTTCACAGACTTCTACAAGAATAGGCTTGGAGAATTGAAATGAGTGTAGAATCGCGATATGTTGGAGCTATCTTATCTTTACCATTACAATCTTTTTTGTGAATGGGAAGTGGAAGTGGATGTTCTGTGGGTAGTTATTCTTTTCATTATTTAGATAGAAGGAAAAAAGGGGGGGGGGGGGGGGTAAGGAATTCATGTCGAAAGATAAGAGGTACTCTGATTGTTTCATCTGGAAATGAATCAGACTACTTCGATGTACCAGGTCAGTATCTTCAAGGTCATGTTGTCCCAAGGCTCTCACATATTAGGATTGATCTCAAGGAGACTTCCTCTGTTGGTTCTAATTCCTTTGCCGTTAGCTTCAAGGCCGTTCCGATTCAGTATTGCAAATACCCACGGAATTGAAGAGGAGAGTGAATATGTTGAGACACAAGCCATGATCAATTTGAAGAGCAGGATCATCATTAACTTTTCATACATCACAGTATTGGTTACCAAATTCAAATAGCAGTAATACATAGTAAGTAGTATAAAGTAAATGTTATAGATATATATTGTCATTATCATTCATTGGTGCAAACTTCTAAATAAAGTGCTAGGTATAAAATACAAATAACCCTCCAGGTCATAACTCATTAATTCCTCCATCTCCTGTTTTTCGCACCGGCTATAAGCCAAGCCAAAGTAAATGAAGTACCGTGTAAAGTGCAAGCAAACAAACAAGCAAGCAATCAGTCGAGCAAGCAGGTAATCGGTATATACGGGCAGCAAGCATTCGCAAAGGCAAAAACAGAGAACCAAGACAAGACAACATCCAATCGAACTCCTCGCTCCTCATTACCTCCTCTGCAACCTCTCAATTCCCTCACCCTATCCTCATTTTCCTCTTTTGATCCTTTGAGGTTTAACTCAACCGACTTCCCGGTCTCAAACTTCCATTTCTCTTTTCGTATCTCCTGTTTCTCTCTTCCAAGATTTGTTCTCGCTTCTTTTCATTTTGTGTAGGATCATTCTTTGCATCTCCATCTTGACCTGGATTTGCCATTTCGTATTCAAGCATCTTGATGAATTTGTAGAAGAATACTGCGATGGCTGTTCCGACCATTGGTCCGACCCCTGGTAGATAATGTTAGTTTAAGTTTGGAGATGGGTTGAGATGGGAGATTGGATATAGGTAGGCAAGAGAGGAAGGCAGGTGAGTGATGTCGAATGTGGATGTATGGGAAGGAAAGGGTAAGGAAGACAGAAGGTGTGTCAAAGTAGCAGAAGAAACTTACAATAAATCCAATGTTGCTTATCGAAAGATCCACTAACAACACAAGGACCAAAGCTTCTCGCCGGGTTCAAACTTCCTCCAGTATAATAGACACCCACCATTTCGGCAATGAATAAGGCCAAACCAATACCAACCGGCGCAATGAAAGTAGCCTTGTGTTTCTCCTTCGCCAACATGAAGATGGTAAATACCAACTCAGCTGTCAGAATCGCCTCGATAAAGACGCCTTGTACGGTGGATGTTTCAGCACCGAGAGTAGTTCGTACATTGAATGTAGTAGGGAAGAGACCGAGAACCATTCCACTAGCAGCTATGCCACCGAGGATCTGGGCGAAGAATAGACAGACAGCGCGGGGAATAGGGATGGCACCAACGAGTACCATACCGAGGGTTACGGCGGGGTTGAAGAGACCACCAGAAATACGGAAGAAAATCCATACGTTTACCATGAGGGAGAAACCGAAGATGACTGCGATGTAAAGCTGAACTGCGATGTTGAAACCTGTCGCAGCACCTGTGGTAGTGTTCACTGTGTTACTGTCGATATTGGCCACTTGAGTACCAGCAAAAGCAAAGAAGAGAAACATAGTTGTGCCGACGAATTCACCGATTGTTGCTACGAAGTCTGTCCATCGTTAGTATGTGCACGATCGAAAAGAGGATGAAAAGACTTACGATTCTTGAAATTACTATTCATCCATTGTGTCCATGGTAACCTCATGACCATAGCTCTTTCTTCTGGCGTCAAGTTGTTCAAATCAATCGTTCCTTTCGTTCCACTTCTTTTATGCGATTCGTAGTTATACCCGTCGATACTTTCATCTGTACTCTTTCTTCTAACCTTCTCACCACTGGCCCACTCAGGTGCAGCGCCTGCTTCTCTCATACCCTTTTCCAAGTCTCGATCTTTGCCAAGATCACTTCTCGAAGAATCATCAAAATACGATTTCTGAGGACCACTTTCCCATCCTACAACATTGCGATATGTACGTGGAGGACGGGAACGTTCGTGATAATCTGGATGAGGATGATCATCACGAACACGTGTGCGGGACGACATTGAGTTCTCTCTTTCCCGATCGCTATAGTAGAGGTCTTCTCGAGCACGAAGAGCTCTTCCTGTCTCGGACGTGAAACTAAGCTTGGGGTCGTAATCGCCGCCGGAATATCTTCTTGGTGGAGGAACTGATGGTCTTCTTCTTAGACCTGCAGCTGGTCTTGTAAGATCTTCAGATGAGAAGACAGGGTGTTGTGGGGTGAGGTCTGGTGGTGACATGATTGGATGTGATGAAAGGGGAGGCGACCACATTGCTGTATCCTTTTGATATGCCTTAGAAGGAGACGATATAATATGTGCAATTGGTACCAATTGTTGTTGCGAAGAACCAGGACGATTTATAACATCTCCATCCATAGTTTTACTACTTTGGAATATTGGAAGGTCTGTGCCTTCTCCTGACATTGTTAACTTGAGACTCTCTGCGTCAATGTCTAAGTGGGGTGAAGGGAAATCGTGATAGGGTAGAATATAGAAAGGACGCTTTTTCAGTGGCTTAGCCGTAATGATGGGTTTGTTTGGTAATAAATAATATATAAAGTATAAGGGGTGTGTATGAAGTTGATGTATTACGATTGATGATTGAGTTGTAAAGTATGATGGGATAAAATAACTTCAACGGATGACCTGAAGAGATATATATTCTCGTTTCACCAACCACTTTCCCCAATTCTAAGCACCATCGCGTAAAAGTACATCGAATCTTGATCTCCTTGAACCTTGGGAACATGATTTCTTCTTTTCCTTGCAATATCTATCAATCTAGCCATCTGCGTACGAAAGTATCTCTACCCAAGATCCACAATCAAGGGTCTTGCTGAACACGGCGATTGAAAAAAGCAAATAACTATATCAAAGGAGAACCATCATACTAAACGATGGATCCCAAGTGGCTGGCTCCTCAAATGAAGAAGTTAAAACTTGACAGGAAAGCCCATGTGTGCATCAATGCATGATAACGTGGACCCTTAAGAATGATTTCGGAAAATCATGGAAAATCATCGCACATCTGCCGTAATGACGTAGATCCTCCGGACTCTCCATAGAGTTCATAATATAAAGCCCGTTGAGCCATATTGAAACGGCAGGAAAAAAGTGGTAACTTATGATAATACTTGAGATGAATTATAGGGGAAACGCATGAACACATGGATGGACCTTGTCGTCACGTGGACAACATGTTCTTTTCCAGCCTTCGAAACTTCGAATTTCAACGACGAACATCCGTAGAAGAACCGTAGAACAAGAATTGCAAGGGAAATGCTCGAAATAGAATTTGAATGGTTGGTATCGAATCTATCGATCTTGACTAGAATGAGAAAGACATGACATCGGAACAGAAATCGGATACAAACCGTCGTTTGAAAGTCTGTGCAGATCGTTCTGCTTAAATTGGAATCTGAAGGTTAAGATGGACTCAATTCAATGCCTTCGAGTTCAATTCATGCATTGATATGAAGATGAAATAACATATAATGATTGAGAACCCTCTGGCCACCTTTTCAAATTTGCTATCGAGATTTGGGATGATTCCAACGGAGATTGCAATTATATCTGTGCAAGTAAGTGGCGATGAGCTGAAAATGAGTCGTGATGCATCAATTGAAGATGTCGGGAAAACTGACTCTACAGGTGGAGTTTCAAATACTCGCTTAAACATAATCATCTTTCATTGGTCAATGCCTTTCTATGGTCAGGGGATATCTTGAGGTATATCATTTGAATGATATAGATTAATGTATGTTCTTATGCTTCTCGTACTTTTAGTCTTTTTTTTGCTGTGAGACTTTCTTTTACTTGGTCAATCTCTCTTCCCAGTTTCTATTCTCGTCCTGATCAACGAGGGCTCATTTCCAGCTTCTCTTCACCCTTCCTTTCCGTCTCTGCCCTATGCACTACTCTACGAAAGTATCAAAATAGAACCAGGGATTAAAGTACAGCCATCCAGAAATTTTCTAGAACCTGTCTGGAAAACCTGGAGAACTTTCATTGTTCATGAACGATCTTCACCGCCGATCCGATCCATCTTCCATGACTCACAAAACCCCCGGTATTATAGCCTTTCTTGCCCCAACCTTCTCTCTACCAAACCTCTTCACATACCAAGCTTTTCCTTGTAAAGCTCTTGGTAACATCGTAGTTATCTCATTGATAAGAAAATTTCTTGCAGGCACGCAACCACTTCCAGCCATTATGAAGAAACCAGCCCATTCGATCCACTCACAAAAGTAATGAGGATATAGAATATAATTGAAGAGACCGTTTTGGGGAAGCATGTACACTTTGTCTACTTTGGTATTGCCTTTGTTTTTTCCAGTTGAAGGGTCATTCTGTGCTGCTTGTTTTCGAAGTGCCGCACGTCTGATTTCACGTAGTTCATCGTCATGAAATATGTTGCCCACGAGACCGAGAAAGAAAATCATCATGCCTAACTCGATCCGTGCTCCATTTACATATGGATTTCCCGATATAGGTTTCCTATAGATGAAATAGTTAGCGCCGCTAACGAAGCGCCATGCCACTCGTATGCTGCACTTATGACATATGTCTGTCCATGATAAGACCATGTGGGAGTGGACGGGACCAAGGAAGAAATTACCAATCAGCTCTTGTAAGAGGCCCATAACCAGCAAAATAACATCCCAGTGATGTAGCATTTGTCACTTGAAATGCAATCGCCGAAAGCCAAACTAAAAAATGTATGGGTGACATAGAAGGAGAGATAAGAGGGCCAATAATGGCACGATTGATGTAATGTATGGTCTAATTTTTTGACATATCGTTAGCATAAATCCATCAATTTGCTTTTTTCAGGCTCGCGCCGACTTTTATTCCGCCACTGGTTCAATAGCTGGTCTCACGTCCACAGAGGAGTTCCATCAATCCCACTAATCAATGGCTATTGAATAGACACATTGGTTCATCATCTGCTAAACTCTCCCTTTTGAACTCTTTCGCCTCCACTAAGCCACGGTCACTTGATCTAGCTATCCTTTGCCAGCTCACTCCTCCCAACACCTCCCCCCCAAAAGAAAAGAAACTCACATAAAGCCCCGCCATCAGCTTATTCTCCCAAGGCAAGTCATTCAACCCCACCTTATTGGGCAACGTATACATAATGTAGAGCATAGTCATCAACCCAGGCAATTCCATCGTAATCCAACCCAGCTTTCCTGGAAGATTAAATCGACTGTTGGTTGAGGTCTTGCCTGCACCGTACCATGGTTGAACCCATTGAGTGATTGTTACCTGTGGTTTTAAGTAAGCATGGGTCATTGGGGGATATGAGAGAATGGAGGAGGGTCATTGGATGAAGGGGGTAGGAGAAATATAAGCCCTAGACAAAGAGAGAGATGAGATAACAGTTAGGAGAGAAAAAGACCACACACCAATGGAAACATTGAAATCCCCAAACGATTAATTCCCAGTTTTCCCTTGAGGGAGGCATCCAATTCTCTACAAGAACCATCTTGACAATTGCTTAGCTCAGACTATTAAACAAGAGAACTATTGAAGTAAGGAAATCGTCGTTGGAGTAAAGCACAATGCTTCAATGATGTCACCACTTTGCATTGCACTTTCTGTGTCTCACACCGTATGATGTTTACGCGTTTGTCAGCCTTGCATTAACCTTAGGAGCCAATGATATACGTGTCTCGGATAGCTGATTGAGTAGCTTTCAGCCTTGTAATCGCAATAGCTCGCGATAACGATAACATCGTTTTTGTTTGCTGCGACATCAACTCAAACTTCATATCTTTACCCTCTTCCTCAAATTCACGGCTAGAAATGACACCTTCACCTTCTCGCGTCGCATTCTACACTAGTAATCTGTCATCCTTCATCTCCTCCCCCTCTACCTTTCGCATCCTGCGTACCCTATCTCCGCCCACACCACTACCCCCCATCCCTCCCACCCCCAAAAACCTCACTTCCGTTACCTTTGACGCATACGATGCCTATCGCGGGTCCCTATACTTTCCTCCCACGACTACTAGTACCGCCTCAAACGAATCTTTAGGCCATCCGAAAAACCCAAGTCGAGATCATCAAGCTCCCTCTCATCCCAACACCCCGCAAACCCTCTACATACTCGATTCCTCCTTCAACCCACCTACCCTCGCACACGCACATATTTGTCTTTCGGCTCTAAACGATCACTACTCTTCTTCCGAATTAGGTCACACAAATGCGAGGTTATTAATCCTACTCAGCACGCAGAATGCCGATAAAAAGATTACCGGCGCGAGTTTGGAGGAGAGATTGGTGGGAATGGAATGTTTTGCGAATGATTTATTGACGAATTGGTATTATCCTCATTCGGCTTATCACTACAAGAAAGAGAGACTTGATCGTTTGAATGGGAAATCATCCGAAGTGACTGAATCCGATTCTTCGGACGCCGAATCCTCAGATATCGAATCCAATTCCGAAGCCAAAACCGAGTCAACTGGCCGCACGAAATTCAAATCTTCTCCTCCCCAATCTCCTCTATCTGAATCCCTACTATCTAGTAACCCCAACTTGAGGCCTAAAATCAATATAGATATAGGTCTAACATCTCTCCCCTATTTCCACGATAAGTCCGCCGCTATTGAAGCCTCATCCCTCTATCCGCCCTCAACCACACACATCCACTGCACCGGCTACGACACTCTAATCCGCGTCCTCAATCCCAAATATTACCCACCTACTCATGATCTTTCCCCTCTCATCCCATTCCTCTCAAATCATAAACTGCGCGTAACCTACCGCATCGACAAAGACTACACGAAAGAAGACCAAGATGCATACCTATCAAAAATGCAACATGAACTACCCAGTCTAGGAGGAAAAAATGAATGGATAGAAGATAAGAAGATATACATGGCTCCAGGCCTCGAAGGAAAAGAAATCAGTTCCACAAAAGTTCGAGCAATGGTTAGACTATACAGCGGGCCGGATTCGCACCGCAAAGGCCAGGGAAGTTCGAAATTCAAGGGAAAAGGAAAACAGGAGAACAAGAAGATCAAAGAGGGATTGAAGGCACTCGTAGGAACATCGGTGGGGAAATGGATTACGGGAGAAAAGTTATATTGGTGGGAAGCGAAGGAGAATGCGAAATGAAGAAGAGAGATGTGGGTAGCTAGCTAGCTAGATCAAAGTCTAGTCGTATTTGTGATGGAGAAAGAATATGAAGTACGAAGACAAAAGAAAGATGTGACATGATTCCATAATCCATCCATCCATCTAACTTACTCGCCATCCCACTCGCAAACTCTCATAGCATATCCTAGCATACCATACCATACCATACCATCGCATCGCATCAGCTCATCCCACCACAGGGGATCATCAATCAATCCTCGAATGCACATATACCTACCTATATATCTATGTACCTAGTACCTATACATACGCGCATTCCACCACCAAGAACACTACTCATTACGCACTCCCCCCCTAACTCCAAACTCCAACTCCAACTTCAACTTCCATCATATAACACAACCATAAACATAAACACATACATAACAAACCTCCTCCTCCTCCTCCCCCTTCCCCACTCCCCTCCCCTCCCCTCCCAAACCCCCATAATTTCCCACCAAAAAGCTATCGACTCGTAGGTTAGGTTGGTTAGGTTGGTTATAAATCCGATATTCGAATTTTTCGGATCAGAGATACTTACCTCTATAGGTTAATAGATAGATAGATAGATATATAGATATTATACCTAGGTACATAGATAAATAGACATATAGACCAGACATACAAACACACTCCCACCTCTCCCTCTCCTCTCTTCTCCTCTCTTCTCCTCATATCCAAAGAAAGCAAATAAAACAAAACAAAACAAAACAAAATTAATACGACACCCATCCATCCACATCCCCATCCCCATCCAGCCAATTAAATTGACGTAAATTTTGACGTACAAAATCTACCTACTCCATCCATCCATCGATCCTTCCATCCTTCAGCCCTACCCTACCCTACCCTACAATCGATGTAGAGTGCAGCCCTACGATACGATACGATACGCGCTGTTTCACATCACATCACATCATCCACTCTCATTCTTGGCTTGGAGTGACCCATTTTCCGTACTACATCACATCACATCACATCATACAAAAGGATTTAAAATTCCCAATTCAAAAATTCTGTGAATAAAGACTTTCTATTATTTGCTCACCCGTTCTATGTCTCATTCTCATCTAACACACAAACGCTGAAAGAATCAAGGAAGCTTATCCATATTCTATCTGTAGTTACTGGATGATGTAGACCTCTATAACTTTTCTCTCCCCCCCCCCCCCCCCCCCCCCCCTTCCTCTAATCCGCTCTTCATACTTCGAGTATGTATTCCATATATATGTATTCGACAAAACGCCATACCCATGCATTTCTGGTACTATCCGTCTAGCCCAGCCCGATCCGACCCATTCTACCTTGGATTCGCCAAAGAATGTGTACAAAAAAGGGGAGGATCCGATTTTCCATCCCTAAAGCAAGAAGCCAGAAACGCCCCTTTCGGCATAGAATGTATAAATAAGTCATCAATCAATTCCTCTCCCATTAACATATATTTCCCTCCGTCAAACTTAATTATATCCTCACAGAGTCCAAATCAATTCCAACACACCATCAACATCATACATTCTTTTTCCATCCTTGTGATCTTTCCACCTCCAATCATCCTTCTTTCGAATATAGGTTTGTCTGACCGTTCCGTCTGCTCTCAATTCCGATTCAGCAAGATCCCATGAAACTTTTCGTCCAGTTTCACGAAGAGGAATTCTTTGAGGTCCAAACATGAAATCGAGATTCCATCCTGTTCCATCATCACCTAATGCATTGAATGTCCTTTCCATTTGATGGAGGTTGAAATCAATACCCTTAGGATAATGAGCAATGGACCAACCATTTGTAAGGATAAAGTTATCTCTGGTTTGGAATCTTTGAAGGAAACAATCTTCACCACAAACTTGTTGAATTTTAGTGGATTCGAAAACTTGAGCTTCATGCCACATTCCTCCCTTGAAATGATGAAGAGAAAGTGGTCTGATGCCAGATTCATAGAACCCTGATGGATCACCAACAATATCCAATTGCCAGATATCATGAAGGACAGTCAAACGGACTTCGGTGTTTTCGTATACGCACTTTCGGAGAAGGATATCACCTTGAGAACCCCATCCGGAATTTGCTTCTTCGACCTTTTGTTTAGTGCTGCACTGAGGGAAAAGATCTGTAATTGTCGCGGCCAAAGGAACGGAAAAGAAGACTCCAGCTCCACCATAAGCTTGGCTTCCATGGCGGGCAAGACTACCGACGTCTTCAGAAAGATTACCAATATATAAATCTTCACTAGCATCATATGTTGCCATTTTCTTGATGAGAGCATCCATGTTTGGGAAGAATGTGTCATCGTCGCACATTACCAGCCATTTTCGATGTTTTCTGGACTTGTCGTTGTATAAAGCTGGTAGGAGAGAAAAGTAACGCTCGGCCATTTCGATTTTACTGTCTGCAGTGTAGACTTTGGCATCGATTCCATATGCTTTCAACATTTTCTTGATTTCGTCGATTTCCTTTTCCGAAGCATCGACCAATCGTAGGATCAATCCACCTCCATTGGAGTTTCCATGACCATCGGTCAACCAATGCGACCAATCGAGCATGGGGTTAATCTTTGGATCAGTGATTCTCTTGTAGGTGGTAGAAATGCCGAAGAGGAAATCGGTAGCATTCACATCTGCAGGAATAGCAGACTTTGGGACCGGTACATCGAGTGGTTTCAGACATTTCGTAGTAGGAGCCGTGTCTTTCTCGATGTTGATTGTATCGAAGTATCGAGGGAATAAGTGTTCGTCGAGTCTAGTAATGGATTTTCGTTCAATATCTTGTCGATGATATCTGACTTGTCTGGAGGCATATTCAATTTTATCATCGAGACCATATTTTTCTTTCAGTTCACGTAGGTGTGTTGAGTTGACGGCACAATCGGGTGAACCATTTTGTGTGGTAAGAATTTCTTGTGAGCTAGGACTGAGTTTTGATTGGATTTGATGCAGCCTCTCTGGTGTAGGTCGTCCGGTGAAGAAGATGATTGTGAGGCAAATGAATGTGAATAGCGCAATGCGGGTGAAAGGACTTCGAGGATTGATCAACCTATTCGGCGATATCGAGGTACCCGTACCTATCATGCCCATTGTGAAGTTGGGAGATGGAAATACTTGCGAGCCAGTAACACCAGATTGTCTATGACGTGATGGAAAGATGCGTACGGAGAACCCCGAGAGCGAGCCGACGAAGATGAGGTGTAAAAGAAAGAGGTGTATGTAACGACAGTTGTTCTACTTTTTCCAGAAGAAATAGAAGACGGAAGTTCAGGAACGAGTGAGAGAGAGATTATTGATGTAGGAGAGAAAGAAGAAAGATACAAAAGAAGGTTAAGTTGTAGGGCAGATCTAAGAAATTAAAAAGCCAAATCCAAAGCGAGCAAAGCGGAAAAAGAAGGAAAGTCGAGCTAAGATAAGCTTGATATTTTGATATTTTGATATGCAGTTACCCTAAACATTAATGCGGAGCGATGAACCTTGTAAATCGAAAAGTTAGATGGGTTGAGTTAGTTGAGTTACTTGAGTAGTAGAAATGGGATATTGTATGTAATGACTCTATGAGTAGTACTGATACGACTGATACTACTGATATTACCTAGTTAATACACAGTACACATGGAATTAATGATGTTGGGAATGAACTACAACGAATTACCATGAAATTCACTGAATCGAGACTGTCTTGAGCCCTTGAGCCTTGAGTCTTGCCCGTGAGCCTTGAAACTTGAGTCTTGACTCTTGTAACGGAAGGAGAGGACTCAGTCAAGAGTGTCTACCCGTCTACGGAGTATGTATCTATCTACTAGATATCTATCTTCCCCTTTCTCTTTTTCCTTCTCTCTCTTCAAAGACTTCATCCTTTCTCCATTCACTTAATTATTTTTTATAACCCCATCCAAGTTCAACCAATACCATCCAACCATTCCAAATTATCCTCTTTCGACATCTCCAATTAAAATTTTACCTTGATAGTGAATCCTTAAAAGGGAAGTGTATTTCCGTACGTTAGTCATCTCGATATGAGATTTGATTCGACACTGCGTAGAGATTGTGAATGTGATATTGAAATTGGTATATGAAGTATATGGAGGTTGACGGCATAAGTATTATAAAACACACCAAAAAGCGACCAAGCTTTTCCCCATTTTTATTGTTTGAATTAATTATATCATTATACTAATTGAAAATTTATATAGTGAACTTCAAATAATAAAAATATATAAATTTATTCCACCCCTAACAAAATCATTCAAATTTATTGAAATTCATATTTTTCTGTTTGGAAATACTATTCTAAACTTATTTAGAATTTATTGAAAGTTTTAAAAGTTTTTAAATTATAAAAGTTGAAAATATAAATAAAAGGTATCAAAATTCGAAATTTTAAAGGGGATAGCTGAATATTTAATAAAATTAATAAAAGTAGTATCGGAGTTTTATAAAACAACAATTTTTATTAAAAATGGGGCTTACACAACTTATCCCATCAACCTCTGTAGAGATTGCAGACCTGGTGCTTTGTAGATTGCGTACCACCCTCAGGGGTGATGAATGTGTTCTTGGCCATGAGACCACAGCGCTCCATACTACACAACAAACTTACCAAGGGAGTATGATTAGTGCCGGATAAATCAACCAAAAGGTAAGACATCTGCGGGCGGGGAGTGCGCGGACAAGTGGGGATGGACATTTCTCATTCTTCCAATTCGAGATCGGGCTGGGAGTGGCTGCATACCAAAATTGATTCTGATGGATGTCTAGATGTCTAGATGTGTATGGACAGTTGGACTATTGGACCATGGAACAACACCGGCTGGAACACACAAGACGGTAGGTATTTATTTATAGATTTGAGGCGAATATTGATTGATTGAGTGATTGATTGATTAATCGACAATCAATCAACGGGAAAGATACTGAAGTCTGGAGAATCGAGATGAACATTGGTTTGAGTTCAGTGTAAAGATTATTAATATCTCGAGGTGAATCAGTGGTGACGTTGTTGTTCTTGATACAGATAAAGAGTTTTTCGTCTCTACATGAAAGTTGACGATTGTAGGGAGTGAAGTCAAGTGAGTGAAGTTCGATAGACATACATATTATTACTCGTAAACCCCCACACTAGAAAGAATTGTGCAATGTTAGGAATGCCTTTCAAAATATCATCATTGATCTGTATCTCTTCCAAATCCAAAGTAATCCCTTTAGATAACAAAAATCATACCTACCTACCACTGGCTACCAGGTATCTCCCCTAGTACCCGCAACGATCATCATATAGGGGCAAATCATTTCAATCAGTGCTTCATTCAATCAAGTAATATTCAAGTACCATCACGTCAATCTTCCACTCCATGACCAAGAGTAATCCCTTCTCAGGAGGTTCTTCTAACAGCATGAGCATCATAACCTCTTCAAACCAACCTCCAACCTCCAACCAACCTCTCGAAACAACGATTGTCAAAGGTAAGAGAAACGATCGACACTCGGCATTGCTTTTGAGTTTATTTTTATATTTCATTCATCGACGGTGTACACTGATTTTCCAGAAAGCAACGGGCCGAACCAAGTTTCAATGTAAAGTCGTCGTTTCTGTCTTGGATGATCTTTTGGATGAATGGCAATGCGAGGAGTATACACACAGGACTTCCGACCATGTAACGTATTATATCTGCCATCCCATTCTACCATAATCTGGTACGGTAGGGTACCACTATGGCTAGCTGTTTGTCACACATTGATAAAGTAATTTCTCTCTAGAGTTTCGAGTGAACATGTGGAGTTGAAACCCTCGAGATCTCAAAGGTGGCTTCGGAAATGGCTTGAATGAGGAATAGGGGGTTGAAATCGTAGTGATCTGGACTGGCTCTTTGTAGGAGGAAAAACAGGCCGGAATTGACCACTAGCAAAGCCCTTGAATAATCCTATTGTTCCATTCTAATTCAGAGAATGAAATGTTTAAATACTTTTATAATTGAAGATTATTCAAGAATTCATTAGATATCATTAATTTTAGTATTTTTATTATCTATTGATTTATTATAGAATTTATTAGGGTGATTAATTTTGACCTCTTTTTTCTCCCAAGCAGAGACTGGGTCTAAAGATAAAAGGGGTTTGTCTGCGAAATTGGGAATGATAAGAATAGCGATATTATCCTATCCAAGTTGTTCTCCATCGAATCTCTTAGTTGTTCGCCTGGGTCATCATGCACGATTCTGTACATTCTAGAAGTACAGCATCAACGGTACGGAAGTCTCACTTTGGTGGCACATTCTGAGACCTCTCACGGAGAATACATTGATATCCAAATATCCAAACGTCTGAAAAGTTCAACCGTAGGTCACAATGGTGAGTTGATTTTGATTTTGATTTCGGTTTGGATTTGGATAATTGACTGAATTGTCAACATCGCTACCAATCTTTATTGGTAAACAATACTCATGATTTCACAAATTTCTTCACTCACTCGAGACTCACTCCTCGTACAAGAAATCATTGTTGCTTGTGAAGCCGTACTTTCAGTCTATTAAATATTTATGCCTTGTGGCCTCAATTCCTGCCTCATTGATCCCAGCGCAATCGACCCTGTATCAAAATGCGCCCGCATTATTTACATTGGAGAAGTCGATGTCTAGAAGGATTTCCCCTCAAATCATAGACAACCACAAGTCGATCGAAATTCATCATGGCTAGGCAAGTAGGATTTTACATCTAGTATCATACCTTCAGCGAAATCACGAGCTAATCTATCAACTATCAGCAATATTCTCTTTTCTGCCATTTCGAAAGGCTACCAACCTACAATTATCAGATGCTATAAAGCAATACATATCCACAAAATATGATCAGCATCCGGATATGTTCAAGCAGGACCTTGAGGTTATCGATGCTTTACGAAGAGATGCTATTCATGTCAGGGAACCTCATACCACTGGAATAAGAAAGATATCAGCATATGCAGGTCAACTTTCCTGGTTGGGGGGTAAATTTCCTATAGATGTATGTCAGCCCTCTACGTTCCGCAGATATATACTTACTTATCTGAACAGATCGGAGTAGAGTTTTCATGGTACCCCGCTCTAGGATACAACATCGACCGACTCGTTGTAGAAAACAACCTCAAATTCGAACTCGCAAATGTAATGTTCAACCTCGCGGCTCTCTATTCCCAGCTCGCCATGTCTGCCAATAGAGCAACGGCGGATGGATTGAAAATTGCTTGTAACAACTTTTCTCTTGCGGCAGGAGTACTCAAACATTTAAAGGAGGAAATAATACCCGAATTGCGCACTTCCCCTCCTGAAGATATGGATGATGATACACTGGAATGTCTTCAAAGTCTTATGTTAGCACAAGCCCAAGAATGTTTTTGGGCAAGAGCACGAGGAAACGGGACCAAAGATGCTTTAGTGGCAAAATTGGCTGCGAAAGTGTCAGATTTATATTCGCAAGCTTCGGATTGGGGTATGAAGAGTAATGCTATAAGTTCGGAATGGCTACATCATTCATCGGTCAAACATCATCATTTCGCCGCGGCGGCACAATATCGCATGGCGTGTGATTGTTTGGAGAAGAGAAAATACGGAGAGGAGGTAGCGAGGTTGACAGATAGTATTGTTTGCGCCAATGAGGGAATCAAGGAAATAAAATATGTCAATAAAGCTGTGGCAAGCGAGTTACAGTTGTTGAAGAATACGGTGACGGAATGTTTGAAAAGGGCTGAGAAGGACAATGATTTAATTTATCTTGGTAAGTTTTGTTTCTCCTAAGTTCGTTGATTGGGTGACGCTCCGCTAGCCCTCCGGGGGCCACTGCCGTGGAGGCAGACTATTTACAAGGCGATTAAGCTTTCTAGCGCAATATGCTATGAGGATTTGAGAGCTTGCTGGTGGGTGGAGAACGCAGCGGGAACGGAGGGCGTAGTGCAGTTTCCATGCATTCCCATTGTTCTTTATAAGAACGTAGCAAGTTATGATGGCTCAGGGAAGCACGGAAAAGGCCTCCACATTACCGTCTCCAAATTGTAATATGTGAGAGTTCCGAGCGGAGCGAGCTATGGGGGTTTGGGGGCTTGCCCCCATATACAACCGAATAAATTGGACTGTTATATATTTATTCGGATACCAGCTAATTTTGTAGATCCTGTACCACCTAAGAACGAACTGAAACGCCTTGAACGAGCAAGTATGGCCAACCCTATAATCCCAAAAGAAGTTTCTGAACCCATGACTTTTCTTGGAGATCATAAAGAATTTGGACCGCCGCTGTTCTCCAAACTTGTGCCTTTTGCTGTTCATGTAGCAGCCAGTATCTACGAAGAACGCCGCGATCGAATTGTTAATAACAATATCATTGACGAACTTGAGATTTTAACAACCCGGATCCATGATACCCTTCGTTCCCTAAATCTCCCTGGCTCTCTACAAGCACTTGAGAAACCTTTGGGCCTTCCTCCTACTTTGCTTTCTCATGCAGAAGAGCTTCGTCAAGCAGATGCAATTGGTCGTATCAATCGATCATTTTCCGATGCGGCAAAGCTAAAGGCATCAGATGAAGCTATATTTCTCGAAGCTAAAGAGCTATTACAATCAGAAGCATCTGAAAATGATCGACTACTGAGAAAATTTGGAAGCGATAGATGGGCTCGTTTAGACTCTCGGTCTGCATCCCCGAAATTATACACTCAAGTGGATGAAATCGAAGGGTATTTCAAAAGCGCGGCGAACAGTGACCAAGTTGTTATCGTCAAATTTCGCGAGTATGAATCTATTCTTCAAATTCTTACCAGTTCAGACCGAGATATTGGGAACTTCGTCCCTAGCTCTCGACGAGTTAATATACCACCAAATCTTGAAGGGGAAGTTTCCAAGCTTAGAAATTCCCTTAACGAAATTTCAAGATTGGAGAGTAGAAGGAGGAGGAAAATAGAAGCTATAAGAGAGAAAGCAAAGAAGGATGACATAAATCATAGCATTCTAGCCGAAACTGCTCGTTTGGAACGAGACTATCCCTCAACACCTGTTGTTCCGGCTCATTTTGAAGATTTCTTCGAAAGACGCCTCTCCCACACCTACGACGCAGATCTCACTTCTCTTAAAACCGAATCGGAAGAACAGGAAAAGCTCCTCCAACAATTGGAAATAGCAAACGGATCATTCATTAAAGCTAGAGCTGGAGATACAAGCACGAGGGAGAGAGAACAGGCCTTACAGAAACTTGAAATGGCATACTATAAGTACAAAGAGATAGTCAATAATGTAGATGGTGGAAGGAAATTCTACAATGATTTGGCGAAGATAGTAGGGAGATTTAGAGATGGTTGTAAGGCTTTTGTACAGGATAGAAGGGAGGAAGCAAGAAGAATGGAAGCGGATTTAAGTATGCCGTTGAAACCGATGAGTAGTCTTAGTTTACATCATCCTCAACCAGGAGTTGGTGGGGGAGTGAGCATAGGAGGACATCATGCGCCGCCACCGCCACAACCGCTCATCCCGGTGCAAATGCAGGGCGGCGAAGTGCCCAGTCCGAGGAGAGAAATGAGCCCGATCCAAGCACCGGTTCCGCAGAGAGCGAGTTTACAGAGTACGCCGGTGAATGTTGGGGGTGCGGGTCCCGGGGGAGTGGGGAATGTAGGAGGTATGCCAGGCGCATTTGCAAATAGCGTTAATATGGGTGGGGGTGCAGGTGCAACGTGGAATCCGGAATTGGGAATTAAATTTGGTGGTAGTGGTGCTGCTGGTAGTGCTGTTGGTGGTGGTGGAGAAAATGCACCACCGCCACAGACGCAAGCGCAGCCCAAACAAACGACGTGGGATCCGAGTGCAGGGTTGAGATTTGGATGACGAGTTGGGGTATGTGGAAGGTGAAGGGGGATTAGGGGGTGAACTTTTATGTATGTATGTTGTATGTATGTAATTAAAAGGAACCTCGAGATACGCGCTTATACTTACAATACCTATCTGTTCAAGAAATACTCGTATGCATTCAGTATATATAAATGCGTATATGTATATGTATATAATAGCATATAGCAAAACAATCGGTGGACATGCGATCAACGGACAAACGATCAACGGACAAACGATCAGCGGACAAACGATCAGCGGACAAACAATCAGCGGACAAACGATCAAAAGAATAGTGAGATGAGATGAGATGAGATGAGATGGATATGAAAAAAAGTTAAAATTGAGGAGAATAAAAAGGAAATAATCTATCTATTCATCTATTCATCTATTCATCTTCTCAAATCTCAAATCTCAAATCTCAAATCTACTTATATTACCTATTACCTATTATCTAATTATTATCACGAAAATTAAATTTCCCTATGTATTTTTCTAAAGAACAATATGATATAATATGATATAATATGATATAATACAATTATCACGCTAAAAGTGATATCACCGATAGCATTAAGCTAATTGGGTTTATATAGGCATATTCTCTCGTGACACACCCCCGAGATTGCTGACTAGCTGGTTGTGGGCAGTAATCTCCGTACTAGCCTCATTGAGTCATACGCAGATCTCCTTCTATTTCCATATGATGCCAAATCTAGGTTCTCTTCTGATTGGATACAACTAGTATTAGGTTCTCCCTGGATACATCTAATAGGCTGAGCGGAAAATAGTGGGGCAACAGAGCAGAGTCCTCACATTAGCTCTAATAGGCCAAGATCAGATGACTAATGTGGTTCTGTTGAAATACCCTCTTATAAGTGGGCCCACAGAAAACCACTACAAGAGAGTACGGTAAAGTGAAGAATTATGCCACTGCGCTATAAACGCATACCGGGCTCATAACTATCACGCTAAAAGTGATATCACCGATAGCATTAAGCTAATTGGGTTTATATAGGCATATTCTCTCGTGACAACAATAAATGTATTTCGATTTCGATTTCGATATTAGTCTTCATATTGATATTTATCGTAGGTCATGAGCTAGTATATGAGTATATAGTATATAAGAGGGAATAGACTAATATTAGTCTATTATGGGAAGCTGGCTCGTATTAACAACTAAATAGCTATGAAACACGTGATTTTCATGAAACAGTATATGATATTCTTATTTTCTTTTTCTATATTCGAGGGGAAAAGGCCTATTTTATGCTTTTTCCTACTAATCTAGCTTTCCACTTTCGTTTATTTCTCGTAGATCTCTTCCTAATCCGGCCATTCCATCAAATAAAGCTTTTCTTTCTTATTCCTTATTCGATTTCGCTAGTACTATGTCGATCTTACTACGAATGGATTGAAAGAACTAATAAAGAGCTAATAAAGAATTGATTTTCAGGCCGTTCTAGGCTAAGAGCTCTCTTAAGCGACGATCATGTGATCTGATCATGTGATATTGTGAGTTGCTCTTAGTATACTATATGAATATAGAACTATATATATATATAAAAAGATATATTATTATATTATTTTTTTATATAAAAACAATAATATTGGTATTAGTATATAGATTATTATATAGATTATTATATAGATTATTATATAGATTATTATATAGATTATTATATAGATTATTATATAGATTATTATATAGATTATTATATAGATTATTATATATATATGTATATATATGTAGAAGGAGGGGGAGACGGAGAGAGGGTTCCGTGAGTACTGATGATATGTGATATGATGTTATGTGATGTGATATGATATAATATGAGAGCGCGCAGATAGATGATGGAAATTTACACACAGTTCAGTTACACACATTGAAAGAGAGCTATTTTGTATGTGATATACTGATTGGTTGATTGATTGAATGATGAATGATTGATTAAATGAACAACTATCCGACTGATCAAAGGAAGGGGTAAAAGTACTCCCATTTCCATTTCCATTTCAGTACCAGTCCTCAGTCCTCCGCCTCAGCCCATTCCATTCCATTCCATCGCTACTACAATCCATGACGACGTATGAAATATATGTATGTATACCAAGAACGAAACCCCTACTGCACTCATTGCCATGCTATATGTAGACAGAGTACGCGATATGAAATACCAACCGCACCAATGCCTACCACGCTGTATGTGTCAAACCTCTACCTGTTCCCCCATCCATTACCCTCCAAAAAAGCAAAAGGCCAAGTGATAAACAAAGGTCGTAACTCATATCCATCCATCCATCCATCCATCCATGATATAATATCCTAACCATCCCAAAGCAAGGCAAGAAATCATACAAGCAGGTAAACAAATAAATCCTCAAGCCACCAACTCCCATGCTTATTTCAAATCAAAGTAACCCCACTCCGAATCCTCATCCATTCCTGCAAGGTAATGAAGCCCAAGCCCCAGGACGCCTGCCGAAAGGAGGTATACACAGAACCCCAATCCGGGAACCGCATGAAATGAAATCAAACCACCACCCTTCAAAGATAAAATCCAAATCAAACTTCAACCTCATTCGCAGCCGCGGTCTCAACAACCTCGTACCAGAGTCCATGGGCATCTTTATCAACTCTCCCCATCTTCCCAAGCACCTCCACAATCCCTCCAATCTTCGCCACAAACTCTGGCATGCCCAACCCAGCAATTCCTTCATTGCCATTCCCATCATTCCGTGGGTTTTCCTTTGCCAATCTATGAATAAGATAACCTCTCAATCTAGTCATCAAAAGTTTCATAACCGGTTCACGAAGTTCTCCTTCTGTAGAACTTAGAGCCGAAGCTGCTGCCATAATTCTCTTGACTAATTCACGAATATGATTTTTGGTAGCCATAGGCATACTTCTACTACTTTCCAATGCAGCTGTGATGCCTTGTTCTGCTTGTTCTGATTCCTTGGAATTTTCAAGCACGGAATAAACTCTTGAAGCTTCAATTTTCCATTGACTTCGAACATCTCGCTTAAGGATATTTTTGGCCTGTAGAAGAATTGCTGAAGTGGTGACGATTCGAAGAGTATCTTTCCTTGCCGTCTCAATCCTTGCCATGTCCAACTTTAAGGTTTCTGGCACTGGGCTTCCGGGCGCAGATGTGCATATATCTACCAGCATCTGAATGTATGTTTTCTCTGGCGTAGGTCTGTTTCTCGCCAACCCGATATTTTCCGGATCTCGACGAGCAGCTTCTGTATAAACCTTTTGACGAGCTTCGCGCCAAGCTCTTGTGGTGATGGTGAGATCGTTATTGGTCTCTTCCATTTCTTCCGAGAAACGTTTAGTTTCATAGGTGGAAGCATGCTTGATCAGTTCAGGAGCCGATTGTTGAAGCATGAAATTGGCATAATCGAGTTGCATTAGATCGATGAAGCGCATCAATGCTTGAAGACGATCGACGAAATCACCTTCTCTGAGAGTATTCTCAGCAAGAATTTTGACCTCATCATCTCGGAAAGGAGCACATAATCGAGGTAAAATATTGCCCATAAAATTGAAGAAAGTTTCGTAAGAAAACCTGCCATTCTTGAGTTCTGATGCTACCAAATCCGTATCGAGGGAATCTTCAATGAGTTTGTACATTGAATTTCCAGGAGTAAGAAGACGTTGAAGTTTACCCTTGATGTTATCGGCCATTGCAAGAACCCAAGGATCACTATTCCCAGCTGCGACTTCTTGTCTCATGGAATCAAAGATAAGTTGATTAACGACCCCTCGCTGTTGAAGACAATCTTCCATCGAGATACGATATTCTTTATTGATGGCCAATTCATGAACCAAAGTTCGATTATCGGGAAGTATCGAATTAACTGATCTTAAATTATCTGCATCGGTAACTTGTCCACGACGTTGTTTGACAGGTGTAGCAGGTGGTGTGAGGGTTTGTAAATGAGATGCAACGGCATTATCGGAAGCATTAAAATCTTCAATAACAGGAGATGCTGATCCAGTTTCCGCGGCACGAGGTTTCGAATCCCCAGTAGGTTTTTTGGTTTGTTTAACCTTTCTTGCTTCTCGGATGGCATTTGCAATCAATCGTTTCCCCTGAACTGGTCCGGCAAGTCTCTTGATCCTAACCATCAATTTAAGTTGATTGTCTCTGATTCCATCACGATATGAATCAGTGACAGATTCTTCCGTACTATCTTTCACAGTTTGCCATATCGAATCTAATTCTACAAATTGTAAAACCATCATATCAATGAGCGTACTTGCATCTCTAGATTTCCAAGCGATAAAAGCATTGAAGAATGTTGCATAAACTTCCGACAATGTTGAAAGCTGAGCTGGAGGAGGTGTGTAATTGTTTGCAGTTGTCAATCTAGACAAAACAGTTTCAAAGGAAATAAGCAGATCTCGGGCTTTTGCAACGAGGTCCTGCAATTGTGGATTAGCCAAATCATCCCTCTTCATTGGTTGCGCTCCTACCTGTTCCTGTTCTCCTTTATCACCTTTACTACTCAAAACCTGTGTAGGGTGACCAAGGATAAGGAAAGCGCTGAGAAAGGTTCGGACTGCTGTCATTTCATTGACTGATCCGCTTTCTCCTTCTTTGAGTCCACAAATTCTCAAAATATGTGCCGTACTAAGGAGAACTTTCTCTTGTGCCAATAGATCAACCACTTTCTCAAATGAAGTCTCGCGAACCCCGTCGATTGTGAGCCCCAGTTCTGCAAAATCGTGTAATGCCTTCCAACGTCGATGAATTCTCCATCTAGTTTGAATTATCTTGGCTGCCGCTGATTCAGTAAGTGGTGCTTTCTTGATCTCCGCAACTGGACTTGGACTTGAACTCTTTCTCATATTACTCAGACTTCTTCCTCGTTGTTTGCTGTTGTTATTTCGACTCAATATTTCCTCTCGCCTCCTTTCAGCCTCGGCAAGTTTTTCCTCCATCTCCTTTCTAAGCTTCTTCCCTTCTAGTTCCCTTCTCTCTTTCATAGTCTCCGCAATTCCCTTTGCCCTCTTCACTTCCTCGGCGCAACTCGCTACAATCTCTGCCAGATTCTTCTCTCTCGCTTGTTGCGCTGCTAAAGCTCTTTCCTCCGTGTTCGTGGTACTTCTCGGTGCTGCCTTGGCTAATGCCGCCCTCAATCTAACTTTCTCCGCATGCGCTGCTCTATCGGCCAATCTAGCCTTTCGATCTTCCAGTATACTCGCTCTACGTAGATGTTGAGCGATATAATTACTCTGCGGACCCGGCATACCGGCGTGGCCCGCCGCATGACGACTCGAGCCATGTGAATGAACTGATGAAATGGAATTTCGTCTCGAGGATGCAGCCGAAGATTTCCGTCGATTGTTGGTGGGGCGATAGAATCTTGCAGCGATGCGTGGTGGTGGTGTATGAATTCGATTTGAAGGGGAATCTTCCCTCTCGGATATGAGATCGAGGTCTACGGGGTCTTCTGGCATACCGGTTGATTCCATAATGTTACGGTCGGGATCGCTCATATCTTGAGATGCACGACGCATGGTGTATATGTAGAGGTATGGTTGGGGTACTTTGGGTGGGGCGGTGGGTTTTTGTCGAGGATGAAAGTTGACAGTGATCGCAGGTTGCAGATGGTGGTAGTTGCTGGTTGCTTGGTGATGGATAGCTTGGTATGTAAATATGATGTGATTGAATTGGCAATGATGACTGTTTCGCAAAGTGAATCCTGGTATTGAATTGAATTGAATTGAATTGAATTATGAACCGTGCATTCGATTTGAATCCAAAAGTCCCACGAAGATGGTAAAAATACAATAAAGATGTGAAAGGGGAGAGGGGAGAGAGTAAAGGGTAGAGAGTAAGAGTAAAGAGTACAGCAATCTTTCGTATCCGCCTTCCAGAAGAATTGAGGATAAGGTAATGTATCGATCGGTAATGCAATGCAATGTAAGATGGAAAGTTGGGTAGAATACCTCAGTACCTAGGCAGGCACGGTTGAATAAAACCGTGGAATGAAGTTGTACAATGATTGGATGAAGAATGGATGAATGAATGAATGAATGAATGAAGTCTGTTTAATCGAAATGGCTGGTTTGGATGTCAAAGGTTGAATGCGACCAATGTGAAGATTGAATTCGTAATCTTCGAGTCATGATACTCGTACAGTGCGGGCGAGAGTGAGGTGTGATAATGGTACTGAATGGTGTCGAGAGAGAATCAAGTCCCAGACATTGACAATGCGAAGGGGCTTGGGGCTTTGGGCTTCGGCCTTTAACCTTTTCTTATTGGGCTTGGCTGAAAACGACGATTATGCGATTGCGCTTATTAGTGATGGCATGGGAGGGGATGGGGAAAGGAAAGAATCACATGGAACATTGAGAGGGAAGAGAAGAAAGAAGATTGTCAATGTTATTAATATTGATTTGATGTCAATATCATATCAACATCTACAATAAATTCTCTATTCAATGTTCTTGTGATAATATTCTTACAATTTCATCAAATACTCGAGTATGTATCCCTCCCTCACTACTATTCCACCAGACGCATTATCCTTCAATCAAATCTTCAGACCCTTATCTCCAACTCCCCCATACCATCCATCAATCAATCATCATGACACTGCCCACATCATACGCACATACATACTACATCCATACTACATACATACCACATACTCTACCTATCAAAATACATGCATGCCATAGAATGTCTTACCTTCCAGACAGACAAATCCCCACCGCATTTCAACATCATACATACCACACCCCGAGTTCCAACTTCCAAGGTCATACTCGTAAGATACATAGTATGCAAAATACGCTTTCTCCTTTCTCATTCGTCGAAAGAGTCTCCTCATACTGATTCCATGACCCATTCCATTCCATCATGATGCATCAGACAGACAAATCACACACCAGACGAGAGTCGAGATGGATATATCAAACAAATGATCTTCCGGGGTACATACTAGATCCAGTGTATTATTTCCGATCTCTTCAATCCAAATTTCTTCATTCTGCATTCTCACTCTCCGTTGGAGAAAAAGTTCATTTCGGATGAGGTGTCCAAGAATAGATTTCCCGTCACTGTGAAATTTAATGCCAGTGCAGTGCAATAAGTGATATGTTTCACTTGTTTTCGAGTCCCCTACTTCGAAAGTGGGAGGTAGCTGAGTAGCTAAATGAATGATTACGAATCTGAGGTTGAAGATGAGATAAGAATGAGAATTGTTAGTACAACTTTCTTTAGGATTCAAGTCAAGAGTAAGATGGCGATGTAGTAATCAAGCCAAATGCTTGAAATCCATCGCGTACCACATGATAGTATTTTTAGTGCGGTATGATTATTCTCCAAAGGAATTAATACTACCCCTCCACCGTTCTCAAGCAACTGTCCAAATCCTTCATACCCGTGTGGCAAATTCAAATGTTGCAATCACAGATATTTGTTTATTCACTCATTTCATCACATTATTAGAGAGTTCAGTGTAAAAATCCATGGAACATGGGTACCATCGTTGATTGATTTTAAGCTACCTAGGTATATACAAGAATATAACACTTTGCTGACAAGCAAGCTTGCATACTTGAAATCACCGTTCCTCAATTGTTTACATCGTTCTGCACAGCACAGCACATCAAGAGAAGAGAAGAATAGAAGATTGCACAATAGCATACAAGGAATACGTTCATGAATCTGTGATTTGAGACGCTGATGCAAAAAAACTATCCTCCAAACCCATCGTGGCATCATATGCAAGAACTCCATAGAAGTGTTAGTCATAACCAGATGACCAAAAACATACAAGCAAGCAAAAGGTTCAATAAAACCACAAAAAAACGCATACATAAAACTCTACAAATAATAATGCACAAGAAAGTATTTGGTTTTTGTTTTGTCTTCATTGATATCAATCCCTTACATCAATCCCCAATCTTCTAAACTGTCTGATCCTGCTCCATCTTCAAATCCTCTTCATGAATATTTGGCAATAAAAAAACAATGTACAATTAACAAAGGAAACCTCCACCTCAACATCTTTACTCATACACAATCACTTACTTCGATGTCAAGAAGCAGTTGATCACATCGAGTTCAAGGATATACAAAATTCATTCCTTTTGTGGAAAGAATTTAGTAACCAGTTGGCTTGGCACCAGTTGGCTTAGCCTTGCTGGTCAAGAAACCAGAAGATGCGCACCTGGACTTCTTGGTGGAAGTAACAACAGTTCCGTTACCGTACAATGGGATGGAAGTGACAGCGGCGGTGGTAGCTGGGATTGGGACAACGGTAGCAGTGCTAACAACGACGGAAGCATCGGTGGTAGCAGCGGCAGCGTCGGTGGAAACAACAGCGGTTTGGATACCGGAGAGAGCACCAGTGGCATCAGATCGAGCGGCAGCGGCAGTCTAGAGATGATTATTAGTATGATGAGTTTTTGAAAGGTGCAAATGATTAAAAACTTACAACGGTGACGGTTTGAGCGGCAACGGTAGCAGTGACGGTGACGGTAGCGGCCTCGGCGCAAGCACAGGTCTCAGATCCAGATGATCCGGAACCGGAAGATCCAGATCCAGATCCTTGACCAGTGGTCTCTCCAGAGGAAGCACCAGCGGAAGCGGATGGGGAAGCAGATCCAGCACCTGAGGCAATGGCGCTAACACCAGGGAGACCAGTAGCAGCAGATCCAGAGGAAACAGCTGAAACGGTGACGTAGTGGGTAGAGGTGGAGGTACCGTAGACGGTGGTGGTTTGGGAAGTGGTAGATTCACCAGCAGAGACGACACCAGCGGCGGAAGAAGCAGCGGCGGAACCAGCTGGGGATCCGGCACCGGAAGAAGCGGCAACGGTTTGAGTTGGGGTAACGGTGGCGTAAATGGTAGAGGCGGAGGTCTCAATGATGGTGGTGGTGACAACGGTGGTGGAAGAACCGGAGCCGAGAGTGTAGGTTAAGGTGTGGCTAGCGTTAGTAGTGACGGTTTGGACGGCGGAAACGACGCCAGTTCCGAGAGGAACGACGACGGAGGATGGGGAAGATCCAGTTGGTGCGGCAACACCGGAAGCAGCTGGGCTTGACTCAACACCGAGAGCAGTTGATGCTGCTGACGAGGAGCAAGCAGTTGGGGTGACAAGGGATCCGTTGCTATCATATGGAGAGTATCCGAGGCATGATGCATAGTTGGAAGCACAAGTGGCTCGGTTTGCATCTGGAGCACTTCGACAGGTGTTGTATGATGCATTACATTGGGATACGCAAGCATCAGCTGTGGCGGATGATGTAGCGGATGAAGCTGTAGTTGATGCTACTGACGAGGAGCAAGCAGTTGGGGTGACGAGTGATCCATTGTTATCATACGGGGAATATCCAAGGCATGATGTATAGTTGGAAGCACAAGTGGCTCGGTTTGCATCTGGAGCACTTCGACAGGTGTTGTATGATGCATTACATTGGGATACGCAAGCATCAGCTGTGGCGGATGATGTAGCGGACGAAGCTGTAGTTGATGCTACTGACGAGGAGCAAGCAGTTGGGGTGACGAGTGATCCATTGCTATCATACGGGGAATATCCAAGGCATGATGTATAGTTGGAAGCACAAGTGGCTCGGTTTGCATCTGGAGCACTTCGGCAGGAGTTGTATGATGCATTACATTGGGATGCGCAAGCATCGGCTGTGGCGGACGGTGTGGCGGATGAAGCCGTGGTTGAAGCACCAACAACTCCGCTGGAAGCAGCTGGGATAGCAATGGTGGTGGTGGCACCGTAGAAAGAGCTTTCACTGGCAGCACTGGCAATGGCAGATGAGAGGGATGCAAGAGCAGATGTCAAGTGCTTGCTAGTGATGACGGCGCTAGCAGATTCGGCCTCGGTGACTGGGCAAACAGTGGTGGCCAAGGTAACGGTATCGGTAACGACAATAACTTCTGGGGTGGTGGAAGCTCCCTCAGCGGCGGATGTGGCACGAGCTGGGCAGTTGGTGATGGAAGCAGCGCATGAGGTGATGGTTCGGACGGTGGTAGCGAAAACGGTCAAAGTGGTTTGGCCGTTATCAGTAGCGGTGGCAGAGACGGTACCGTTGTTAATACGCTTTGGGTGGTAGTGACCTGGTTGATAAGCGGTGGCAGCTCCGGCCAAAAGGGCCAAGGAAGCAGCTGTGAAATGCATGGTGATTGATATCGAAGGATATATGTAAATTCTAGATTCCTCGTAAATGATATGTTCCTTCCTGTTGCGATATATTCCCAAGCAATCAATGCTATCCTAATTGTGTCTAAAAAAAAATCCAAAGAAGAATGGCTATGTACCCAAAATGTTTTTCTTTTTAGTGTTAAACTTGTGTGTGAGTGGTCGTGATGAATCGTTTGTGTTAAAGAGCGAAAGTCGATTCCGCAAAAAGGTGTATGCTTTCAAGGTAAAGAATGACTGTAGAGTTGGAAATAGAGAAAGGAACTCTTTTGTGCAAAAGGGACTTGGTAATGACTGTGTAGTGATCAAGGAAGATCTTGTGTTGAAAAAGGAGGGTGGAGGAATCTTTTAAAGAAAGGGTGAGGAAGGGTGCGGTGCTCCTCGCTACAGGAGAATTTATTAAAAGGAAATGGGCAAAACGGACGGGGAGGGTGGGCACAGAAAAATAATGAGTGGAACCCTGGACAAGTGGGATTAATTATGAATTGAACATGGATGAGGGGGAGATTCCTGGTTCGAATGCTACCTACTTGGTCCAAGGAGAATAAAATGTGTTAAGGATGGATCCATGGGGAAGGGGGTTTGTATGGCTGCTATGGTATGGTACCACTCTCCATTATAACGCTGAGGGAAAAAAAGTCTTTTTTTTTTCGCTTTGCTTGCCACATTTTACATCCAGACGGCGCGGTTCCAAAGCACATGGGTGCTATGCAGGTACAGCTAACCACCCAGGTCATTAAGAGGATCTCACCGCAAGTGACCCTTGAAAGTCATCGGAACCTTGGAAGGCAAACGCTTGGAGGATTTCTCGGTTTTGAGAGGCTATGTGATTATCTGTTCAGGGGTTAGTAATATCCCGATTCCTCATGTTTGTGCGAAGAGAACCAATCACGATACGCGGTTGCGGGAGAGTTCTGCGTGTTGCATCGTCTCTTCCAATGAGAGGGAAGATAGGGGTATTCCGTAAGAATCATGGCCACGGATGGGAGATGGAATCATTACTCAAAGAACACAAGTTTGCACATCGGGATGGAAGCTTGAAGGATAAAATGCCACTCCGTACAAGGTGATTAGATGAATAGATGAATTCCGATCCATAATTCTCAGCATCTTCTGGTTTCCTAATGGGCGGAGCAAAACCGGTCCAAGCAAGCATTGAGAAATTGAAGGGCACTATGTAATCTTCGTTTCAAAGGATTCGGTTGGCTTGCTCGACTCAATTTTCATGATGGTTGGTGAAACCCCGACTATAATTTTTCCCTACGCAGTAGTGTAGTGTAAACAGCCTACCTACCCGTGCTACCTACCTACCTCAGCCTACCTATGGTACCTAAAGTCCTAAACAAACAAAACGGACACTAAGTTTGGGTAGAGAAGAAAAGGTTAATTGAAAGATCATGATTCATCATATCACACATTCATTCGTCTTTACTTGTCTGCATGAATTTGAATCTTTGGATGATACACTTGCTACTCAGATAAAATGAATCGTTCATCCCGTAGTCGGCTAGTCGAATGATTACGACATTTTGTTTAAGCCTCTTCGTTTTGGATGTTTCTTCTGCTTGAATGCGAATCGAATCGCATGGAATGATCTATGTATGTACTGCATTTATGCATTTAGGTATGTACGCATGTGTGTATGTATGTATGTGTGTATGATCTGATATGAAAACATAAATTGTGGATAATTCAATATATCTATGCGCGCAATTTATGTACGAAGTATGTACTGTAAGTAAGTAGGTAGGTTCCTAGATAGTCTTACATCGTATCTCGTAATTCAGGATTCATCTTGTCAATTCATGGCACCACGTACGTATTCCTTGGGCAGATTACAGTTGGACGAATTGGTCAAGAGTATGTAGATGTGATGACGACTTTTCACATATCAAGAACAACAGACTTTCGGAAATTAATTATCTGTTGGCTAAGATGGGAATGATTGGTGAAGGGAAACTTAGATAGAGGGGATTTTCTTAAATCGCACGCAAACTTCCTTTTTTCTCTCTGTACGATGTGTTGTGCTTGGTGCTTGGTGCTTGAACTTTTGATTAATCATGATTCATAATCTACTTTTTGAGGTAATTGATATACCAAGAGGGCCAAGCTTTCCGTGGCCGACCTTCAATTTCATCTGACCGTCTTTAATTTCTGTCCAGGTTCATTTCGGCATGTAGTGTAAATTTCCCCAGTCTGGATGTTGAAGTACGAAAAACCCCTCATTGAGACGATACCGGCCAGCCGTGTATTGTCCACTTACTCATGGTCCGATGGTCGTCGGATAATCAAGCCTCAAAGTCTACTCGGTCAAAGGTTTGATAGATTGGTGGTGTTGTTAGTATAATAGTATTAGTGCTACAGCTTGTCAATAATCTATCAAGCGATTCAAGCCCCTTCATTGGGAGCTTCCACTGGCGTTTTAGACCGGACTCCTTTTCGTATTGCTTCTACATCGTATTTGCTCAGCCATCATCATTCACGACACCTGAAGCTTCAAAAATGTATCAACAACCATGAAGAAGTCAATGATATCGTTACCAAACCCAAGGTAAGGTAAAGTTCACGAGGCGCAGTGTTTTAAAATAATCATCTTAGCATTATGCATTACCACCTCATAAGGCAATAGGGCAAATCTTGATCGTCTATATAAAAAGGCCGATCATAAGGCCACGGCATTTGTTTTTTCTTCAACCGCCTTGATCTTTTCTTTCTTCTTCAGCCCAAAGTGTTCAGTTACTCAAACGCCGAACGAAACGGTTGAACCTACAAAACAAATGCTCATCGTTGTCCAATCTGATCCCCACAACACAGCACAGCTCTTCACTTGAACATATGGCGCATCGCACAACGGTTCATGAAACTGTGCCTGCATAAAAGCAATCTCATGTCCACGACGATCTTCACCCGTCCTGGCCATTTCCCTGCACTCGAAAAAATATTACCACTGAATATGCAAACGCCTATCAAACACCCCGGACTGATAAGTTATAATCCAAGAGCATTATTGACAAAAATCTATGGGATATCCTTCACGACACACAAGATTGTTCTAGATTTTTCACTCTTGTAAACGCCCAGCTACGCGCTCTCCACTTCTCCAATATGAGATGAGATTTCGGGAATTGGTCGACATCGAAAGGAAGGAGAAATTTCATGTCTCGGACCATGGATTCCAATTCATCCATCACTCTCTTCCATTCCTCCAAAATAAAATACTCAATCTCCAAAATGCGTATCCTTCATCTTGTCACTCTAGAAGACTCTTTGAGCGCAAGTCCCCAAAATTAGCCTTCGATCTCATTCTAGCCTTCACACGGATTACTTATATGGAATAGCTTCCTATCCACAAAACATCCATGATCCATCCTTACCTAATCTCGTGTTTTGCCAAGCTTGGTACCCATGTAGCTCTCTAAAAGATGACTTTATATTAACCTTCCCAAGTACAGGCCAAAAAGTGTTTCATGTTAACGTTAATTCATTTTAAACCTTACAGAATGATGAAAACCTTACAAATGTACAACTAGAAAAGGTAATGGAATTCCTGGCCGTTGAGATTAAACTGGCTGTTTCTGGTAGGTGTTTTGATTTTGTCTTTCGATAGTTATTGAGGGAGAAGTTTGGTAGGTTCCACTTGTATTTGGTAAGGCAGGATGGGAATCATGGGATGGAAGCGCTAGAGGGAGGGAGGGCAGTGTTGAAGATGGGAAAACTAAAGATAGCCTATACGGCGTGTAGAGCATGAGTATGAGTAAATGTGATTACCTATGTAGCTATCGCAATCAGGACTCGGTATGGCGAAGCGCTGGATGACAGGTTTATTCTGAGCGAATTCATTACCATGATCTTCCTTCCTTCCATACAAACTTTTTGTAGCTACCTAATCCATCATCCAATACTACCTAGCTACAACTCAAATATCAATCAATCAATCAGTCAGTCAATCAGTCAATCAGTCAATCAGTCAATCAGTCAATCAGTCAATCAGTCAATCAGTCAATCAGTCAATCAGTCAATCAGTCAATCAATCAATCAATCCATCAATCACCATCTGAACACAACTAATCCTTCCTCTCCTTCCCTTTCCTTTACGGGAAACATTATCTTTGGTACACTCCCAAAATGAGTGGATACTTTAACAATATTTCCCCATTCCAGAGCAAGGACAAACCTGGAGATGTCACTGCTTATTCCATCCAATTCATATATCCTCATTTCGCTTCATCTCGTAACGCCCAGAATTCCGTATCCACCGCCTACAATCGAAGCTGGAAGTCAGAGTCCTCCATCTCATGTCATCTTATTAAAATGGAAAAAGCACAGAGGCTAGCTTTATCGATCGATCGATCTATCTATCTACCTATCTATTGATCTACTCGACACCTCGTCCAAACATCTGGACTTCATGGCTTGATGAGGGAAACAAGTTGTTTGATGCAGGTATACGGATAGGTTACAGATAAAATAAATTGCTGTTTGAGGTTGGTTGGGATGTTTACCTGTTAATATGTAGTATGTAGTATGAAGTCTGAATGGGGAAGTAAGCCCTATAGGAATTAGAACATTCTGGATGTGAGGAAATGGATGTTTGTCATTTTAACTCAAGCTTTAGGGATCGGGTAATCTATTTTAGATCGTGAAGTAGATGGATAGATTCATCGCGGAGATGTGAGAGATGTTACGGTGCTAAGTGGCAATCATAAATCATCAATTTGACTCTTTTGGAAATATATGAATACGGACGGGATTGGAAAACTTCGGCCCCGAAACTATGCCGGAAGTTGTGGGGCCTTCTTTATCTGGGGAGTGAGAGATTTAGGGGGCTCTGGTGGTGTTGAACTACGTATATACAGCTGTATATTTTCTGCTCGTGATGCGATACAGGATTCTAGTCGGATGTGTCGATGTCAATTGCGAGTTTAACACTCTTGCTCTCATGTTCATTTAGTATTTGAATATCTAAAAAATGCTTGATGGTCAATTCACGGTTAGTTCGTATTTACATAAGTCTAGTCGATATGTACTTCCGATTTTTTGGGTAGCTTGCCGTTATGAATGTAGTCATTTCAAAGACGCTTTGCTAGTCCTCCGGGGGCCACTGCCGTGGAGGCAGGCTATTTGGAAGCAAAAATAAACGATCATAGTTGTTGAATTCTGCCCAGTCAGATAGGTTATCCATGACTGTCCAGTCTTTTATCTAATTTTTTCATACTCTTTAACACCTTCTTGCTTGTGAGGCATGCTATCGCAGAATCTGTAAGGAGAGATAGTACTACGCTCAAGACATAGCGACACTGCCACTGATTTCAGAGTATGGCTTTGCTGATATAGACTCAAGACCAAGTTAAGCCAGAGGGTTGGAATGACGCTCAAACAGCCATGTTTCCAGGAATGCCTTTGAGAGCAATGGAATAAATTTAGAAGTCCCAGAAGCTCTGCCGTAGGGACCTGAAAGGAATCACAATCATGTTTGTGAGCCGATGGTGACGGCAGTACAAGCGCTTGAGTTCCCGGAGCGGGTTCGCTATCATGCCATTATTTGATCCTAGCGTGCATTTGATACAGTATCATGATCGTCATTTGGTATGGCCTCCTCAAGGTTCATGGTAATAATCTGTCTGTAGTCTTCTTTGAAACTTGAGCTCCGGTGGCCTGATTTCGAGTGTGGCTGATACATAATGAAACACGGCAACTGAATAGATATCTTATGCTTCGTGATGACATCGTTAGGAATGATAGCACATGGAAGTATCTTATTGAAAATTACTCCGATCATGACGACCCACCCAGAATACGGGTTGCGTCTCCCAAAGAGAATTATGGGAAACACTGCAGAAGTGGGGAGGAATATACGGTGATATGTTTCGCGTGAGCAAGCAAATGGCTTGTAGAAAGAAACACTCATCTATACAGGGAGTCCTGGACTCCGGAATCCTCGGTAGGAAAAAGCAAAATGCAATTGTAAGATCTCATATAGTGTCGGTATGATGTCAATGGATGCGATGTACTCGACATCCTGTTGTACCATACTTTCAAATCAGTCATATGAGAGATCCATAAGGTCATTATCGTCAGAGATTATTTGTAAATTCTTGGGGGAACAGAGCAGATCTACATGTACCGTCCGAATATCAAACTTCACGGAACATCATCCTGGCATTCCCATGAGGCCAAAAGATCTAAGATTCGCCTGCTACGATCTCACTTCGCGTATGACTCTCTGTGTGTTGCCGCTGATGGATATATAATCTTGAGCCGCTTCAAGTTCGTGCCTACCATCTGACTGAATTCGGATACAAAGGTACTTTGTGTAATTCTGGACAAGCCAAAAAAAATGTTGGACTTTTCCTTTCGAACTTCGACAGTTATGGCTGAGTGGGAAATCCACATGCCTTTCTTTCAGTGCTAATGATACAGTCGGACTCAGCTTTCATACATACTTCTTTGTTCTATCGTAAAAGTAAGCAGATATCCGACAGTGTAAAGATTCTGGGGATGAATGAATGTCTCCAAATCATATTATCGAGATGTATTGATATGTGAAGAGATACCTCGCATGAGATGTAAGCATGTCTTTTCAATTAGAAAGACCTCGGGAGGTAGTGTTCATCCAGATTCAGAGAAGACCACACTGTGAGTTGATTTCAAGATACCCGAGAAGTAAGCGAAAAGGAGGGCATTGTTACTGTTTTGACTGTAGCGTATCTGTGAGATAAACACAGTTGTAAGAATAACTTATGATGAAAGTCGTGTCTAGGAGCTTATTCAGTACTTTTATATTCTTGAGTAAAGCTGATGATGGTGTGTATTATGTGTGCTGAGTTGAAGTTATTCTCTGGTGGGATTGTCAACACAATGGGAGCTCAATTTCAAGTTGGCTGTACCATTGAAAGCGCTGTGTGGACGATCATAGGATCGTGTTGCTAAAGAATGGTACAATCTATATAGAAATCATTCGAGCGTTTGAGATGATTGAGCCTCATTTCATGAGAGGAGAATTTTTGAAACAGTGAATTCTACCATAGAAGTGCAACATGTATCTTTTGAATTTCGATAATGTGTGTGGAATTGAATAATCACCAGGAAATTCAAGCACAAAATCATCTCAATTCATACTTACTGATCATACTTGTCAAATTTCGAGTTGTCATTCTTCCACACCCTCGATAAACCACTACCGCCGGCCTTTTGTTCCATGGTACGATCTCGGGGCTCCCCCTTTCTCGCTTCGCTCGTTATTATTATCTCTGGCGAGGCCGATGAGATGCTCCATCCTGGCTAATTTTAGTGAACTAACTATCTATATATGCTTAAGCTACTATAAAAATGCACGAAAGATAACCAAGCCATCTAATCATCCCAATCCAGATACATTTCTGCAAATTAAGCCGGATCAAGGAGCCTTTTGCCCAGAAAACGTAGTATATATTTTTATGATTCGAATTCTTTAGTACATACGACCATAGACTAAGGAGAATTGGGCATCCCGTCCGCTCTGCCATACACAAGCCTTAGATCGGCAGATTAGTAGTTGGGTGGGTGACCACCAGCGAATCCCTGCTGTTGTATGTCTTCCTTTCTTTTTGAATTTTGCTAGTGGAGTGGATTGGAGTTTTGCCATTCTGTTGTGTGTAGATCGCACATTCATCTCGCGATCTTTGAGGTCTACTCGGTCTTTTCTTGCGTCGTGGGATGGTTCTCTTGAATGTTCTTGTTTGGACAGGATCTTGAGATTCGGAATTTTGAACTGTGGGAATTATTAGGAGCGAGGTGAGATCATTTGCTTGGCGGTATTAGGGATAATAGTTGTGTCGTGTTAGCACACAAATAATATAGGCCTCTTTCAAAAGGCGAACTTCGTGAAGTTCTAGGATTCTTCGAGTTGATGACGAAGCACTAGTTGATCAAAAAAGTGCTAAGAATTTCTCAATGAGAAGCAGGGTGTACATACATACACTCTACGTCCCCTAAAAAAACTAATGATACTTATCAAAAACTCTAATACTTCGGAAGTGGCGATATAAAAGACGCGATTTTAGTGGATTGATACATAATCTAGATCCATAGTATTGATAATTCTACAGTCCTTTCACACCTACAAGAACGACGAGAACGATTTCTTCAGCGAGTGTGATATGCTGATATACTACGCTGCAGTTGACACTTTTAGCGTTTACTGCAAGTTCCAAGCTGGTTTATAGCATCAAGTTTAATGGAGTGTACGGTATACTATGGCTTATTGGTGGATTATATGATTGACCATATTACTGTCGGAGGCACACCCGATCGGTGCTCGCTCTAGATCATGGTACTCTAGGTTATATATCATGAAGAATGAAATAGCCGGAATTTGATTAAAAGATGTAGACCTAGGCATTATCTTGAAGAGTCTATTTGTTGAATACTATCTGCACGAGTGAGATAAGCTATGAGAATACGAAGTCGAAGAGGGGTGCTATTCACCAAAGCCATGATTCGCTTTGCACATACTATTGCGCAGCCTAAGCAACTACGGAGTCTAACAAAGTAGTGGACGATGACACAAGGACTAGTGAAAGCATCACAGTTTGCATTCTTGAGCCTTACATGCTTGAAAAGCAGAAGTAGATAATTGCCAACTTCTTTGAAAAAGTGTATGTTATAGACCTTGCATTAATGAAAACCCTTCTGAGTCCTGACTGACAACATCTATCCTATTTCCCGATAGCTAGCCAAACGGCAAAATCAACCTCGAAACCGCATGCGCTTCAATGGCATTGTTGCGCACGAGCAAAGGATGGCAGAAGAATCTACACGCAAACCCCTATTAGTATCTATGCCATGTAGGTAATATAACGACCAGTTGAAGGCATTAGCTCGAGGGACTAAACGAAGCCAAGATTGGCTGACATCTAAGCCTTGCTAGAGATTGCCCATTCAATGAGGGGTGTAGGTGCTGTTTCTTCCTCGTTGGAGACAGTTCTTGCGGTCTTCTTTGTATCTGCCCACTCGATTATTGGAGCAAGTGAAGCTTCTTCTTCGTCGGCAATGGTCCTTGCGATTCTTTTTGTGTCTGCCCATTCAATCAGAGGGGCAGGTGAGGCTTCATCGACAGCAATATCATTTACTAGAACATGATGTCAGGAAAATTTGTCAGAAATAGATGAGGTGTAAAAGAAGCCACAAGTAGACCATAGTCTTCTAGGGACTAGCACGTACCAGAGCGGGGTCTTAACGGGCTTGCTAATGCGAGGACCGCCATAGAAGAAGTGATAAGTGTGGAGAATAACATGACTCTTGGGTTGAACCTGACGTTTTGTTGGACAGCTTGATTTCGGCCTATAAACTTATGGAATGGTTTGCTTCAAATGAATACACCTGTGCCAATCTCTTGGAACCCGTATCTAATTATATATGTAGATCTTAATTCAAAGCATTACATGTTGAGTGCCACTTTCAACACACTCTATGAGCTTCTTAATCAAGCAATTATATCACCGACCACTGGGAAGTGAGTGTGCCTAATATCAAAGAAGATGCAGCCAACAAGTCACAGCAACTCAACAAGTAAGCGAAAGGTACAAGGAGGCAAAGTAAAAGTGTATTTGAAGAGAATCCTAGTAATAATCTGATGACTCGCTGTGAAGCAACGTCAACGCTGATGCAATAACAAAAAAGGATAATCTCAAACATACCCTGCCGTTTGATAAAGCAGCAATTGCGATCAACAAAGATCTTGTCACTCTTGGCCTCGGTTGATATCTTCCCAAGCAAGGTATCCATTTACCATGTCTACCGAGGTAGTAATCTGGGGCATAGTTTTCCTACAGACAGCCAACTGCAGCTAAAAGTATCCAATTGAACCTGTACACACTCGGGTCCGGGTAAATATGAGGTAGTGTGCGAAATATTACGGTGAGATGAGATGTCTATATTGCTCCTTGACACATAACACCCTCAACAATTCCAAATCGATAAAGGCATGGATATATCATTTTTCAAGTCCTGAATAAATAGGATGACTGAATTTTGACCAAACCATGACGATCCTCTCGGTCAAACGAGCCCCGATAGAGAGAAGATGTTAAAGCTTGCATGGGATTGTAACGCGTATTTGAGGCGTAGTGAATCGATAAAGAAGCTCAGAGTGGTACCAAGCCATCGCGCATTCAAATCAATTGTTGATGTTGAGATAATTTGTGGTATGTATGTTTCTAAGACCATTAGACCGACATACTATAGGTAAAAAAGTAGGGTACTATAGAGTTACCTTGTTCTTAGGATTGTGTCGAAATTGAACAAATTTTCAACAGTTTTGTCAATTAAATAAGATATGGGGGTGTGAGGGGGTACCAACAAGGTCTCGGTTATTTCCTTGGTCGTGTTGAAGGAATCCCTACCCGTGTGGTCGGTATCCTAGTTCCGAGCCGGGGCAAGATACGACGTAAGACGGAAAATACTTCCCGTATTTAGTGGCAGATAAAATGCTCGTCTACCTATCCTCTAAGAGCGGGCCACAAGGCTTAATTCGACTTGAAGATTCTTATCTCACAGTTCATACGCTAATTCCAAGTTAGATTAAGACTCGGAAGAACTGCGATAAGAATAAGCTTCCACACGGCACCATTCATGAAGAATATACCTTTGCCGAAGAAAGGAGTAGAATGTGTGGTAGAAGCTTTACCCCAGTCTTGAAAGGCAAGTGCGGTGACTTGTTGAAAATTGCGTGCTTCCATCGTATTGATAATTTTTGCGCCTAGGAAATGTTCTTCCCATGTTTTTCCATACAAACCAAAGTGTTCCATGTATAGATCCATTAGGCTGCCATTCTTGGTGGCGTCTGTTCGTGATTTTACAAGCTCAGACTCCTTGGCTTGAGGATATGATGGAGGAGGCTCACAACCATGTTGTTCGATAGTCTTACGAGCTGCTCTAGACGAGACGAGCCGGCTCGAAACATAAACGAGCAGAATGAAAGGTACAATGTACACGAACGTGGGCAAGAAATCGAACATGGTGAGAGTCAACCGATGAGAGGCAGAGTCACTTGCGAAATAAGAGCCTCTACAGGTCCAGAGGTCTCTTGTTGAGGCAAGGTCTCAAGACTTTTGCGTTTATCAAGAGATTAGAAGGGGTGAAGATAGTTCTGGATTTCCCTACGTATTCTTTGGGATGTTCAGGTAGCTTCAACGCCGCGCGGAAATAAATCAAAGCTACTGAACTTACAACCATAGAAGACCAGGTGGAACATTATTGAGCTGCGTAATCTGCTATTTGATGGTTTGCTTTTCAACCATGTACAATGTGTAATTTATCTCTTATCTGACCTGCCGTTCTCGGCTATCGACAGGGGTATGCCGAGGATTATTAGGCCGACAACCATACATATTGCATGACATTGCCACCAACATACATATGTACATTTTGCATCAAACTAGGTAAGATCTGCAAATAAACATCCAGATACCGTTGGGGACTTGTAGTCACGCAAATGTTTCATTTTGGCGGTCGCTGTAATCAACCTCCGGCTTACATATTTGCGATGTCCCTTGTCTGTAGGGTTTTGAGATCCGGTGCAGAAATTGAGCTGGCCGCTTTAACATTGAAGAAGTGAGGGATCAATAGAACCATGCAGTGTCTACTCAACACCTTTTTTTAACATGATTTGGAAATAGGATTTGAATTCCAAGTAGTGTGCCGTAGAAAAGAAGGCGCTCTCGAGGCTCTTTATAAGTTTCGCTTGACTCATGGGGCAATGAAGCATACTCTCACGTCTCTCTACAATGGCTCTGCAGGAGTACAAAATTTTGCAGCAAGATGATACAGATCATAATATCGAGACTTTGATGTATCTCAATTTACAGCGACAACTTCGTTACTTCAAAGGAGTTTCCTTCGCTCTCGGCATTTTCCTTTCATTTTCGCTATTGTTTAATGCGCTGTGGGTTCACCAGACCTTGCAATTGATGTCGATACCCATATTAACACCCACCAAATACAGTATGCTGCTGGGATCTATTAAATACTGGCAATCTTAGCTAACAAAGCTGGCAGCTGGTCTTGTGCGAAACATATCAACTCCTTTCATCATAGACAACGTGTTCACCAATGAGAATAGAACCATTGCAGATGCAGCTTGGAGCTCCCCGGATCTTGATTCGGAAGTCGGACTCGTCGCTTTGACAGACGAGTACGCCAAGTCGAAAGGACTGCTTCCGGCACAGCGCTGGCCCTGGGATCATTCAAAAGGCATCTACGTTCTGAACGGCTTCCACAACCTTCACTGCCTTGTAGGTACAACGGCGACTTACAATCTTATATCGCTGACACATCTTGGTAGCAACTTGTCTGAAACTTAGTTCTCGAAGCATACGATAATGTGCCCCTAACATATCCACTCGAGCATGTTTCTCATTGCCTAAATGTACTTCGTGAAGAAGTAATGTGCAATGCCGATGACACACCAAGATATACCGGCCGACTAAACTCTGAGAAAGGAAAGGAGCATCCAACATCTGGGATTGGTCAGACAAGAATGTGTAACGATTGGGGGAAGCTGAGAAGCTGGGCTGTAGCACATTCAGGCTGCTTCCGAGCTATAAACGAAAGCACACCAAATTTTCCCACTATTGAGCGTTACAAATTTTGTCCGTAGGGGATGAATTATTCTTCCCAAACACCCTGAGCAAGAATGGTACACCCGTGCAGTTATCGCAGAAAGGCATTGCTAATTAGGACCTGCGATCTGGTCGTAAAAATCTCTGCGACCATTTGATTCATACTGAAAATGTAGCTAGTTTGACCTGCCACCAGAGTTCCAGACAAACAGAAGAATCTATTTCAATCATTTCTCATGCCACTTGGCGATGTTGATTTCATGTTTATTGCTCTCATAACCTTATTAATAAATTTTCCACACTGATCTTGGGCATAATTACTGGATGTGACGGGATTCTCTGTATCGATTATCATTTATGTGAGGTTTGTTAGAGATCACCAAGTGCCAAGATTCTGTATTTTCTGCTGATTACAAAAGAGACTAACTTGAGCCTTGATTAAATCGAAGCTATTACGTAATAACTAGATATAGTACACCAGTAACGTGGTTTAACACCGAGTGCACCATATCACCGAATGCACCACTTCAAAATACACCAAAATTAGCCTTTTCCTAATATTTGTATTTTAATAATTAATCAATATTTTTTAAAAAGCAAAAAGATTTATTAATAAGAAAAGATCTTTTATAAAAATATTAAGTTTTTTATATAAAGATATCTGTTATATTCTATAAAAGTGGAAATTGTCACGATTTTCGTTACAAAAAAACTATCTCTATAATAACTACTATATTAATTCAAATTTTTGATAAATAATTAAACATTTATAATATTTATATAATTAAATGTTACAATTTCAAATTTTGAAAAATTATATTATTAAATAAAGAAAGTGCACGGTTACGCACAGACGTATTTTGTATGTAAAATTCATGGTGCACTCGGTGTTAAACCACGTTATTGGTCATTCGAGTCACTATCTTTGACAGTTGACCATAGCATATTCAAGAGGTGTCCAAGATCATTATTTCTGTATCTTCATTTCCATTTTATTTTCAGGGTTATTCCATAAGATCAATTACTGCTCACTGCCAACCTCGGTAAGATTAAACTTAGGTGAGCGAGCGGTCTCCGATGAGGTCAGAATCATCCTGAATGAGATGGCCACTACAAATTGCTTCTCAACCCCAGCGGCAATTGTTTTGCTTCTTAAAATCTCCATGCATTATACGATTACAGAAGTTGACCATGTTAACTAAGATGGTTTCTAAATCAAATGGAAGTGGCTTAAATATGCCGATCAAGCATTTCAAAATGCTTCTAAATAAATGAGATATTGGTTCGATTTAGATTCATGCTTTCCTTCTTACATATTTCTTACAGTCTCGAAAGTCTTTGCTATGCCCCTTAGAGTTCTCTCTATTCTGTATCATCCGGGTGGAAAACCAATGCCCTAACCTCAATACTCTCTCTCTTCTGCTCTCCCTCATGTTCGGGATTCACAAACGCACTATGCGGAACACGTCTCGCTCTCCCATCAGTCTTGCTATCAGAACACTTGATCAGAAGTACCTCCTCAGGTGTCTGCTTATACAAATAGTTCCATTTATGACCCGGAGCATGACGCACAGAGTAAGTTTCTCCTTCGCGATCGGGATAGATAAGTTTGATTGGAACAAGATCTTTGTCATCAACTGAATTGGCAGCAGCAACACCAAGGGGATCTTTGAGAATTGTCTTGATGGGTCGCCAAACATTGATGATTTGGAAACGTCCTTTGAGAAGTTTCTCGGCTTCCTCAGGAAGATGGTGAGTTACGCGGCGGGGGCTGGCGGCATAGGATTGATCGATGTGAACGCGTTGAACAGGGCCGCGGACGACAACTGGGGTGGGATTCTTATTGATTGAATCAGCAGATACAGGTGCTGGGGCTCTCGTATCAAGAGCTTCACGACGGATTGTGTGGTCAAAGATGAAAACTTTGGATGCCCCGGTCCTATTTGCTTGTTAGTAGCCTGTCCAATTTGATTGCAAGCGCGCGGAGTAAATACTGACTCTCGTTTCAACAATTCTTCGGTTTCTTTATAGTAATCACTCTTGATCTTCTCCTCATCCACAAAATCTTTCTCCCGACTGATATGGTTTACGACCTGGAAACCGGTGGTGTCCAACGTATACTGGGTTTCTGAACCGCGGATATCGTGGACAGTAACCTCCACCGAATGGACGGGACGATCATAAGTGTTAGGCTTATTCACGTAATTGGGCTCTGGAGGACTTCCATCTTCTAGATCAAGGTAATAATTCAAAACTCCTTTTATATCGTGAGGTGTAGTGGAGTTGGTTTCGAGCTTGGTGAAATGCTCGGAGGGAGCTTGTTCGGTGATTGTGGTGGACATTGTGCTAATGAACTTTCTGGGGTTTAATATTTCCAGTCAAGTCTGTTTAATTGTATGATCATGAGTCTCTTGAAATTGTGGATGTTTTACTACAAACTTCGGATCTTGCAAGTATAAGTACTATTTTTACATCGAGATGAATTGACGTTGAAGCACCAAGAAGACCAATATAATTATTAATCCAGTATGATTTCAAAGCACGTCTATTATTCAGATGTTTATTCGACGCTTTCTTCAACCCCGCATTCTTGTGCATGTTTGACGAGAATGGCGCAATGTCATGTTTTAAATAGAATTTATGGGATGCGAAGGAAGTTTGCCTACAACCCGCCGTTAGTCTCGGAAGGAGTCGAGTCAATTTGGTCTCCCATCCCTTAAATTCGGTCGAATCTCACATAAACCCCCTCAAAAAATATCCAACATCTAATATTGATTTCAAAGCTCATGACAAAAGCAGATAAGAGTTTAGGCAGTATATTTCAAGGAATCATAAGGCCCGTCGTTTTCCGACGAATCACAAGGGGCGACAAGAGAGCACGCAATTGTTGCATGAGATGATATATAGGTGCTGATCTACATGCAAGCTACTTTGTGTGGCTATGATTCAACATATGTCTTATGTAGTTCATATGGCATCATTGATATGGCTGGGCTTCGGTGGTGGGATGATGGTGAAATTGGGGGAGGGTGAAACATGATGGTGGTTGAGCTGCTATTGATCTAAAAATCGAAGATTGCTAAAGATATAGATTTTATATTGTAGACATTTACTTTCAAGTCTGAGCCTGCTCGCTGAAGTATTTCCTTTGCTCTTTTATGATTGAGTCCATTCTTCTGTCGTCGGATATTGCAATTCTATGTTCCGGGTCGTCACATTCCAACGCGATAACGACTTTACTCGTGGCTTTTATCTCACTACCATGTAATTGTCTGCAGTATTATAAGACTTTGCGATGCTAAATCAGTATAGTTATCTAATATCAGCGTATGAAATCATGCGATCGTAGTTGCGCTCTGCAATATCCCCCAAAATGTCGACACCAACAAGTTCCGCCGACTCATCAGCCCTCGAGTCCGAGCCTCTTCTCTCCTCCCGCTCAACCTCTGTCAACTCCCTTTCCTCTCCGCCATCCAAGCCCTCTCGTCAAATAGAAGACGACAACATCCCAGAAACCAGCACTTTAGGTCGTAACTTGTCCTGGTCGAGCGCTTACATACTCGTCATATCCCGAGTAATCGGTTCCGGAATTTTTGCAACACCCGGACCAATCCTCAAAACAACCGGTAGTATCGGTCTTGCCTTGCTTCTCTGGGTTGCTGGTTCTATACTTGCTTGGCTCGGTCTTCAAATTTCTTTAGAATATGGTTGTATGCTTCCTAGATCTGGAGGCGAAAAAGTATACCTTGAGTTTACTTATCCACGACCTCGATTTCTTGCCAGCACGCTTGTAGCTGTACAAGCAGTACTGCTAGGTTTTACAGCAAGTAACTGCATCGTTTTTGGCGAATATGTGCTTTTTGCTTTTGGAATTGAGGGTACGGAATTAGGGCAAAAAGCCATCGCCTTGGGACTCTTGACCTGGATAACAATCGTCCATGGATGCTTCCTCAAAACGGGAATATGGATTCAAAACTTCTTAGGATGGATTAAAGTAGGTCTAATCCTCTTCATGGCCCTAACCGGAATATTCGTCGTGGTGTTCGGTGTAAAGCTTCCGGAAACAGGAGCTCAAGTCCCTACATTATCCAGACAAGGATTTTCCTGGGATGGACTTTGGACTGGTTCAAATTGGCATTGGGGAACTTTGACAACTGCTGTTTTCAAAGTTTCGTATTCTTATGCAGGACTGTCCAATTTGAATAATGTTCTTAACGAGGTTAGGGACCCAGTCAGAACGTTGAAAACTGTTGCGCCGGCTGCCTTATTTACAGCTTGTTCGTTATATCTATTAGCCAATTTTGCGTACTTATCTGTGGTTCCGCTGGAGGAGGTGAAAGAAAGTGGACAACTTATTGCTGCCTTGTTTTTCGAGAGAGTTTTTGGTGATGTAGGGGGACGGATCTTATTGCCATTAGCTGTGGCGGTTAGTGCGGCCGGAAATGTTATGGTTGTTACTTTTACACTCGTAAGTTTTTAATCATTCATCTCGCGATCTATGATTCAGCATCCCCCAAAACTCAAATTAACCCTGCGTCATTAGGCTCGCGTGAACCAAGAGATAGCCCGTCAAGGGTTTCTCCCCTATTCTAAGTACCTTTCCTCCTCAGCTCCCTTCGGTGCACCCCTCGGCGGTCTAATAGTCCACTACATTCCCTCCTTCCTTGTAATCGCTATACCTCCTCGAGGTGACGTCTACAACTTCATCCTAGACGTTGAAGGTTATCCGGGTCAATTCGCAGCATTAGCTCTCTCTTTAGGACTAATCTATCTTCATTATAGTCGACCAGACCTGAAAAGACCTTTCAAAGCATGGTTGCCGGCTGTTTGGATTAGAATAGTGGTTTGTTTGGCGTTGATCGCGGGCCCCTTTTTTAAACCGACGAAGGGAAGCGCGGATGTGGGGTTTTGGTATGCGACATACGCTGTTGTGGGGGTGGGCATCATTCTTTTTGGGGTGGGCTGGTGGGCGGTAGTGTTTTGGGGATTGCCACGGTGGGGTGGGTATAGAGTTGAGGAAGAAGTGGAGATTTTGGGAGATGGAACAAGTGTTACGAGGTTGGTTAGGGTAAAGGGCGAAGAGTGAAGACTGATATAATAGCATTGCGAAGGTTCATTTGAATATTTTGAATGGAAATTGGGTCTGTAACGTAAACATGGCGCGATCCCGGCCAATCTGGTTAATTTGTTACCGGAACAAAGTTCGCAATATTTTCTTCATGCGATGTGAATTCGTAATGGGAACACTGAAGCTCCTGTTGGATAGCCGGGCAGCTGATAATGCCTCGAAGGTTAGAGATCCTGGGCCTCATGGGTAACTATGAGACAAGAGTTCTTTGGGCCGAATGAGGCTACTTAAAAGCATGACAAAATGGCAGATAACAGGAACGTCACGCCAAGCCATTTGAACATTGATAGAACTAGTACGTGACAAGAGATGAGGGTCCAATTTCGTCTAGAATTCAACTACTTGAAGAACCTACAATGAAGTGACTTCTTCCTGGTACGAAATAAGCACAGCACAAAACTGTGATACTGTTACTTGAAGCTTTGCTTGGTGTGGTCCTAGGAAAGTGGGATGGGTATCACAGATAGGAGAATTGTTCAGTGTTCCAGATCGGAATTCATTTCCCTTGTTCGGCAAGATAAAAGCAATGTTGTGGTGCAACAGAGCTTGAGAGGTGGAGGGAAGATGAAAGACAAAACAACTCGTGGTAAAGTTCGGTCATTTAAGAAGAGTAATCTAGGCTCTTTTACCATTCCCAAGATTCGGCAACTTCGCAATACGAGACTCTGGCATTGACTTGTGGATAAAGACTTCTTGCTTGCATTTGGAACAGCTATCTCCAGTCTCGCATTCGAGTTTGTCCCTTCACAATCATTCTCGTTGTAATTTATCCAGGACTATCAACCAATCCTTTCTAGCCCATTATTGCATCTCATTCTGTTATTATTTCGAAGTCTTTTAGTTCCCGCGGATGATCTCGCTCCGCAGATTTGCAGAGAGGAAAATTCTTCCAGTTATTCTGCTCGACTCTGTGATCTCGCGGCGCGGGCGATGTGTGGGAAGCAGGTGTTGACTGGTGAATTGATCGATATCTATTATCTATTGGGTTGAGCTATGGTGTTATAATTAAGTCATGTCGCATACAAATACAGATACCTACTGTTGTTGTAGGTAGAGTAATGCCAATGAAGAATAGTGGTACAAAAGTTGTTTAAATAATAGCAACGAAACCACATCAGAGAAGTGTCGTGTTCACCAGTTCACCAGTTCGTGTAAGATGCTTAGTCATCAGAAATTCTTATCCGCCAGATCCCACCAGATCCTCCGACTCTCGCGTACAAATCGCGTTCACCTCATCTATCATCATAATCCCAATTGTTTATTTGTGCACTGCTGATAGCCACTATTCTATTCATCCATTAAGAAATCGCAAGTGAATCCGCCTCGTTAAGTAGCGGCGACCAAAGGAAATCGCATGTGCAATTCAATCCCAGCCTATTTGGAGGCTCTTCGAGTCACGTTCTTGGGAATGTTCTTTGCTCGCCAGGCTCTCGTATTTCAGAGAGTCAGTGTATATTGCCAAGCTTTAATATTGAGCTTAAACTTTTCAGCCTCAGTAGTGGGGAACAGATCGAGACCACAGGTGATAGCTCGTGGAAGCTTGCTAGCTAATCGATTCAGCCGTCGGGAAAAAAGAGGCGCTATGGTTGAACATTTACGGCTCGAGTATTTATATCCAAGTTTGTATGCCTGATATTCAATACATTGTTGCCAAGTGCACAAGTACAGCTGGGCAATCTGAAACATTGTTGATATCTCAATCCAATGACTACTCTGAGAGTCTCGAGCTAGCTATTGCCAAGAAGCGAATTTCCAACATCGATACCGTGAAATAGGCAGAGAAAAGTTCCCGGTGTAAAAACTGTCACAATGAACCGAACTCCCCAATATGGCTTTATCGCGGGATCATTGTGCACGATCATGGAAAAAGGCTTTCCCCTCGTAAGTAAACCAATAAGGTTCTAGTTTGCATAGTCTTCTTGCTTCTCAGAAAGAATCGATGTATTGTCGTCGGTCTCTATTATGGATATTTAAGAATGCGGTCTCATCCCTAGTTCTAAGAAATACACCTTTGATTCGAAGAACATTTTCTTATACATATTCTCACGTTCTCAGTTGTTTCCGATTTTGTTCATTTTTTCTCGGAGCAAATTGCATCTGCTCAAATCAAGACTATCATAATTTCCATCTTCCACCATGCTTCTATCTACAATAACAGTGCTTTTTGTTGTCTCGCCTTTTAGTCTCGCTGCTTCAACCACATGTACAACATCGAACGCAATTTCTTGGGCTGAAAGTGGTAGCACAACCGGAGGAACAACAAACGGCTCTTCAGGCACATCTTCTTCAGATCCTTGTGCCGAATATGCAAACAATCCAAAAGCTTTACAGGTATGCTATGAGATGCAAAGCCAAGGTGAATGCAATGCTGTAGGAGGATCTGCTTGCGGCGGCGACGACGACGACGACGATGACGACGATGATTTGATTTTAAGGACGCGTGATACTCTCTCTTGTTATAGCGATGAGACATGCTACGAATATACCGATGGATCATTGTTCTGTTTGAATGAAGAGACTGGTGAGCTCTCTGACATGGAAATACTATGTTCTGCAAGATTCATATTAACGAATGAAACTAACTGGTCTTATAGGGGAATATGCAGATGACGTAGGGGGCTCTGGAAATGTCTATACTGGCGTTTATACAGGGCCAGATGGATCGCAAACAACAGTCGAGGGTGCATCCGCAACAGCCGCAACATCATCAAATACTAGAAGTTCTAGTAGCAGCGCGACGGATTCAGACACAAGAACGACCTCTAGTGCTGCCACAGCTACGTCTTCCCCAAGTTCCTCAGGCTCGAGGCCTGTCGGAGCCACTGGATCTGTTACTAGTTCCACAACCGCTACTGCACCAACTGCAAACTCGGGTATTGGGAAAGTCAGGCCTGGGTCTGCCATGGGAGTTTTGGGCTTGATCGTAGCATTGGTTTAGTGGTTTTACTCTTAGTATACCACTGGAGTGGCAATATCTTATCTTTATGACATTGCCGCCTTTTGTATCTTATCTAATATACCTGCAAAAGCGTCGTAATTTCCACGGCAAGTCATGCACAAATTTCGAGACGAGAGAAATATAGAGTATGGATCGAAGTTCAGACATGCCATTGGCAGACTATTGATTCAAAATCTCCAGAGATTGATACACTTCGTGGAACTCCTTTCTGTCTGAAGTTTTTGACCTTGGATAGAGGGTTGCAGAATGCTCACTTCCAATTTGCTCTCATTTCATCGTATCTTTTCCAATGCCTTCTTTCATTTTATAAGTTGCATAATCTACATGTATATGGCCAGGCATTAATACTGTGCATGGGGTTGATCGGCATATGTCATTCCAGCAAACCTTTCTTTTCACCCATACGGACTCTAGAGAGCGATTTCTTTTTCGGACAAGGCCCAGAATGACAACGAATAATCAAACGCATCGGAATCCAACTATCCACACATTTTTGGATATACCTCAAAAAGACCGGGCTCAGAACATCTTACTTTCGCAATATGTGCGTAGCCCGATTTAGTGGAGACATCTTGACCACCTTTGCATGTCGTCACCCCAATCTTACAACACACATGATTACCCCGCGTCCACTAATTTCAGTGGTACTGATAACTAATAGTCATTAGTAATACCTCACATAATATGCAATGCACTCAGCAAAATTCATGCCAATACTACGCTCATTACTTTTTCGTCAGAGGTCAATCAGATCCTAGGATCAAGCATAGTGACGGGAAGGATGGATGATACTCGCTTAAATCATTGATCATTGGGTTTTTCGCGTTTGCAAACGGAGTTTGCCCATCCAACTAATTAATTGTTCGGTTGACTGAATATCTCAACCTCTGAAAGCGCCTCATGGAGTAGGTAGCCGCAAGGATTTACATCAAATAGACAACGAATTCTGGGACTTCCGAGCTCTGCTTGATTTTTTAATTGAAAAGCATGCAGTAAAGCAAACAACACTTACCGCCACTCTCTATTATGTTTTCTCGGTGAAAAATTCGATGACTTGAAACGGGTTGCAATATTCACCGATGGGATCATGCTTTATGATGACCTGCAGGATTTTGTAGAAGCGGTGGGCATGATAGTTGTTATTGATTCGCTGTACATTGATTGAAATGTATGCAGTCAGTGAGCCTCGTCGGCAACATACATCTCATACACTTTGCTCTTTTTCTTGCACGTGAATCGCGGAGCTCTTGCTCCTCAAGTCCTTAGTTTGAGAATATATATTGGCCTTTCTTCCACTCTTCAAATGTTTTCCCTTATCAAGCGATTTCATCACAAGACGCATAAATGCATACACAGATACAACCAGCCAAAAACTGTGAGTAGTTACTTCTTCATTCTTACACTCCTTGTGTGTTCGAACTCATTTGAACATCTTCCATTCATATTACTGACCACTCAACGAAACATTCAAGCCTCAACCTTCTACCTACAACAAACCCAAGAACTCATAAACATGCCCACACAAATGACCAAAGAAGCTGCTTCAAATATCCAATCAACTCAAATACGCTTCTTCTTTTCTTACTTTCTGCCTACTTATTCTACCCAATAGTCTCCGTGGTATATCACTGCAACCCGAGCTAACACATCATACAACAGGCTCAGGACGGTAAAGACATGTCCTCTTCAGGATTTGCGGCGCGCGCTCAAGGAGCTGGCGATCGTAACGCAAACGCTGGTGGAGCCGCAGCAGGTGAAGGTACTGGTGGTGGAAATGCCGGTCAAACTGGAACAGACAAGAAGTAGGATAGGATGAGATTAATATTCAACAACTCCTTGGTGCAAAAGGCAAATCAAAAGCTTGTTTGATGTACCGATTAATTTGTTTGTTGGCAGCGTGGCTCAATTGGATTATGAACTTTGGAGGAGACAATGAGATAGGGGTAACTTGGATAGGCGATTGAACGATTTTGGATCGGAGATCCTAGCCATTCGTTTTGAGATAGCAATGCAACGCGATCATTGCTGAAGTTTTTGCCTTCATTTGGCTGCGTGAAAAGTGATCAAATGTCTTCAATACTACTGTTGTCTGAACATCCAAATGGTTTCTTAATTATGGAAATGCATACCCCACCAGGTTTGACTTCTCGTTTCGGAATTCCATTAAGTTATACTTATACACTTGCGTTCGGATTGGGAACATATATAAACATCTAACTGTGTGTATTCACAAGGGTGGGAAGGACGCGAAACACTAGTACATCGTATTCGCTTACATCTACCTCGACACCGTGAGCCTATCCCCTCACTAGTTTCTTTTTTCGCTTACTCTGCTATATCACATCTTTTTATCCGCACTGAAAACAGGCAAAGTTTTCACAATACATTGCTACTTTATGTAAGAGTGGCGTGAAAGTTGTGTTTCGTCAAGACTTCACCTTGAAGGACCTCCGTCTCCGCAAGCACTGAATACTTAGTAAATACATGTTGGATTTCCTCTGGGTATATCTGTATTCCATCGAAATTAAGATCAAAATCAACAAGCACATTCATCTCACTAATGACAATACAAATTATACTCCTGCCTATGAAGTAACTCTCACACGAAAACTCTTCAGAGTTAATGAGAGACAAGCATGAATCCAAACGAATTATTGAAGTAATTCTAGCTAGTGAATCCAGTAAAATATAACTCTCCTGTATCGTCCCCTTTCCACTCCACTCTTGCACCGACTGGTTTAAGAATGACAACAAACAACAGCAAAAATCAGACTGCACAGATTGGAACTGGTGAACATAGAACAGGTGAAATTAATGACAATGATGAAAGTCTCTAAGCCCCAAAGCCATATTCCCGTCTCTAGTATTACTCTGCTCCCTCCATGCATCTTAATCCATATCGACAACCCTTGTCACTTCAAGATTTCCATCACGAACAGAAACAGACAGCCATTATACTCTGCCCACATCTTAGTTGCAATCTTAACGATCCAAAAACTACGGAATACCTAAAGCTTTAAATAACCTCGTCTTGCGTCCCAACAACCTCTTGAGTTCTGGTGACGCAGGTTAGGTCATGCGCAACGTAAGTAATGTGAATTTGCGCGCATGCACAAGAGAGGAGGTTTATTCACTAATTCCACCTTAGACCCCTCCTTCACCCCTCATCTCTAAGCCTTACCTCGCCCCGCTTGACATTCACCCTCTCTGTTCTCATTCTTATCTACACTCTCCTCAGACTGATATTTGAACCTGCTATTGTCTGCTCGTTTCTATCTATCTAGCATAGAGTTTTCTCCCATTGGTACCCCAAGCGATGTTGCATAAGAATCCAGATGAGATGTGCATTACGAATGTGAGAAAGAAGACCATGAGCTAATATCAAATCCATCGATAGAGTTATAGGAGGATATCCTTAATGTAAAGGTACAGAGACAAGATTGACTAACGCGCACTGAATAGATGACAACAGCAACTACCTACCCAGATAATCAACTCTTGATCTCCAAATGAGAACGAACCATAGTAAAAATAACGACAACAAAATAAACACTAACCCAAACCCTTACCCTAATCACTCTTTCTAACCTTAACTCTCACCATCTATCACTCACCAAATCCATCCTCTTCCCCACTCTTGAATCGGCTTTCAGACTCCGAAAATCACCAATCCTTTGTCGGGTATAGTTCACCAATTCCCATCCATAAGGATCCCAAGCCTGGGAACTCCTCGATCTTTACATAACCTCTTCATTCACTTTAAAGAGTTCGAAATGCATTGTCAGTCGCATGAGAGAATGACGGGAATATAAGTTAGCTGTACCTATTCACTCCTTACGCAAGCTTTTCCATATGACCCTCAAGTCAGGTGCCTCTAGCTTTCCCCCTTAGGACCCCGCTTCCTCTTACCCGCGTATGTTCTCTGGGTAGGTAGGCCTACAAAATCAATATATAAATACAATCTCCTCCATCGACTTTTCTCCCCCGACCTAGAAAGCTCAAAAAGCGATGGCATTCAGAGAAAGGAGGCTTGACAACGAAGATCAGACATCATGTGCGAGTTTTACACTGGTATTGAGGTATTCCATTCCGGCAGTGTGTCTTCTACACAAGGATCTTCTTTGAGAGGAAGAGAAAACATCCGATCAGCATATAGTATGACAACATAGATTCTCCTAAAAATGATCCAGATGATAATCAAACCAACAAACTGAATGAATGACAATGGATTACCTACCTAGTTCTAAAACTTTCCCTTCCTCTTTTCTACTTCTACACCTCCAATTATAAATCCAGCTCTTCCTTCCCACTTATTCCATCACGGGCCCTTTCTATGCCCCAACCTCCTGTACCTCCCCACTACTTTCACAAATCCTATTACCGACCTTGAAATCAGCAACCTACCCAGCAGTCTTTATACACGCACAATCAATCCGTAATTTTCACAAGCCCCAAGACTACTGTGACCACCTTCCGACGTGGTACCTTTGCTGGCAACCTTAGGCCCACTGATCATCTAAATTCTCTTGCGAAATACATAATTCCCCAGACATGTCTTGGCATTGGGTCTGTTCCTACTTTCAGCGATACACTCAAGCGTAGGGACGATGAATCTAATCTGAAGTGTTTCCAACTCAGCATGATTGTAGGTAACTTCTTAAACTTGCCTCGCACAGATGCATTAACAAGAGAAGCATGCCATCTGGCACGGTGCGAAAAACTCCCCTCGCTTGTACCGGAAGCATTTCACAAGAAACTCAAAAAATGATGAGAACCCCAAATACACAGGATAATACAACATCACATCACATCAAACATCATTACAAATGACACAGTTTTTCCCGGTTGAAGAGGGTATATTTTACTACTTTTATCCTATCTACCATCCTCCACCAAATAACCACTCATTGTCGTCCTCCTTAACCATCATCAAGATAGTAAAGTTGGTTTAACGTCACAAGAGTCCCAAAATCCCCATCCCCTTTTTCTTATTTCCCATCATATTTCATGTCATTCATGCGCCACGCCACCAAGATGTCCGGTTGATGGATCATCTGTTACCCACCGAGGGACTACCGCCCTATGCTGTTGAAAACTCCCAAGCAACGCTCACAATAACAAATCGCTTTTTGTCTTAAAATGCCCCAACCAAGAAACGCCGATGTTGAAGTCGTTCCCATTGGTTAAAGAACCGCAGACATTATAATAAAGAAAAAAAGAAAAAAGCTCATAACATCATCCTCAAATCACATCCCCTATTAAAATATGGATGGGAAGAGAAATTTATGCCTTGTTGGCATACTTTTGACGGTAAAACTTGGCAGCATTAACCATGTTGGTCAAAGCAGCCTTAGTTTCAGCCCATTGACGAGTCTTAAGACCACAATCAGGATCAATCCAAAGTTGCTCTGGCTTGAGGAATTGCAACATCTCCTCGATTCTGTCCTTGATCTCTTGCTCGGATGGAACACGAGGAGAGTGAATGTCATAAACACCTGGGCCAATGTGACGTGGGTAAGCCTCATCAACAAAGACCTTGAGGAGCTTAGCATCAGACTTGGAGTTCTCAATGGAGAGAACATCAGCGTCAAGAGCAGCAATTGCGTGGAAGAAATCCTGGAACTCAGAGTAACAGAAGTGAGAGTGGATTTGAGTGGAATCTTGAACACCAGAGACGGAAAGTCTGAAAGACTTAACAGCCCAGTCAAGGTAAGCCTCACGCTCCTTTCCACGACGAAGAGGAAGACCCTCACGAAGAGCTGGCTCATCGACTTGAATGACGTAAACACCAGCAGCCTCGAGATCAACAACCTCATCACGGAGAGCCAAAGCAAGTTGCTCAGCTTGGACGGATTGATGAACATCATCACGAGGGAAGGACCATCTCAAACAAGTGATTGGACCAGTCAACATACCCTTCATTGGCTTCTTGGAGATGGAGACAGCGTATTTGGACTCCTTGACAGTCATTGGTGCTGGACGAGAGATATCACCAACGATGATAGGAGGACGAACACAACGGGAACCATATGATTGAACCCATGCGTGGGTGGTGAAGGCATAACCATCGAGACGTTCACCGAAGTATTGAACCATGTCGTTACGTTCTGGCTCACCGTGAACGTAAACGTCAAGGTCAAGTTCTTCTTGAACCTTGACAACATCCTGAATCTCCTTCTCAATGAACTTCTCGTACTCCTCAGCAGTGATTTCACCCTTGGTGAACTTGTTACGTTGGATACGGATCTCCTTGGTTTGTGGGAAAGAACCAATGGTGGTGGTTGGGAAAAGAGGAAGACCCAAAGCTTTTTGTTGTTGGGCAATACGTTCTGGGAACTCAGAGATTCTGTTGTAATCCTTCTCGGCAATCTTGGATTGACGTTCCTTGACCTTGGGGTCGTTGGTTCTCTTGGAAGAAGCACGAGCTTGAATAGACTTGGCGTTAGCCTCGAGCTCAGCGCGGACGGAAGCTGGTCCCTCAGTAACAGCCTTAGCGATGATGGCAACTTCAACAACCTTCTCGGAAGCGAAAGAGAACCAATCAGCAATTTCTGGGTCAAGCTTCTTCTCGCTTGCAAGAGTGTGTGGGGTGTGGAGAAGGGAAGAGGAAGTGGCAACGATGACACGGTCCTTTCCGAGCTTTTGAACGGCAGACTCAACAGTCTCAATAGCACGCTTGAGGTTGGTCTTCCAGATGTTACGTCCATCAACAACACCAGCGGACAAGATGGTCTTGGATCCCAAAGCGGAGATGACAGTCTCCAATTGCTCTGGGTTGCGGACCAAGTCAACGTGGACAGCATAGATGTCAGTTGGGAGAGCATCAATGTTGTGAACGATGTCACCAAAGTAGGTGGCGAAGACAATCTTTGGGATCTCATCACCTAAGCTGGCGAGCTTCTCGTAAGTTGGCTTGAAAGCAGCCTTGGTCTTGGATGGGAGATCGAAGACAAGGGTTGGCTCATCAATTTGAACAGTCTCGGCACCAGCAGCCTTGAGTTGCTTGAGGAGCTCAATGTAAACTGGGAGAAGGTTGTCCAAAAGATCAATTGGGTCAACAGTTTGTCCACGGTCTGGCTTTCCAAGGTGGAGGAAAGAAACTGGACCAACCAAGACTGGTCGGGTAGTGATACCAGCATCCTTGGCTTCCTTGAATTCACGGACAGCCTTTGGGTCTGAGGTGAGCTTGAAAGATTGGTTGTCTTGGAGAGTTGGCTTGACGTAATGGTAGTTAGAGTCGAACCACTTTACCATCTCCAAGGATGGAACATCAACACCATCACGTTGGTGACCACGTCCCATAGCAAAGTATTGATCGATTGGGTCGAGACCATGCTTGGTATATCTTTCTGGGGTAGCCTGTAAAGAGGAGAGTTAGTGACATGTTACATGTAGATCTGCGGATGAAATGGGAATGCTTACACCAAAGTCTTGGATGTGAGTAAGAACTTGATCGTAGAGAGCGAAGTCGTTGGATGGGATGATATCGACACCGGCATCCTTTTGGATCTTCCAGTGAGCAAGACGAAGTCTCTTTGCCTCAGCAAGGAGATCATCTTGAGAGATCTTTTGAGCCCAGTATGCCTCTATCGATAGTTGTTAGTATACAATGTGGGGTAGCAATATGAGGCGACAAATCTTACCAGTAGCTTTCTTGAGATCTCTGAGAGCTCCCATGCGAGGGAAACCAAGAACGGATCTATCATTGACGTGGTTAACAGCTGTAGAGATAGATGGCAGATGGATAGAACTCACGATTGAACCATATTTGCGGTATTGAAATGTGATGGAGTTCAAAAGGTAAAAGAAGGGTGGGTGAAGTCGAAGTATTTAAACCGACCACGGATTGCGTGCTAGAAGATGAAACTAGACAGCGAAGTCGGAGATTGATCGATTGATTGGTCGAACTCTTTTTTCTATTCGATTCTATGGAGAGAACAGAAGAGACGAAAGTAAATTGAAATGAAATGAACACTCTGAATAGATTTTCAAAGTGCACTCTTGATTGTATTTGTAGTAAAAAAGAGGAAGAGAAGATGGGAAGCGGTGTGTGTGTGTGTAGGTGAGAGAGTAAGAAAGATGGAAAGGAAGAAGAGGAGAGAAGCTTTTCTTATTGTCTTGAATAAGTGAGAGAAGAAGATTGGCCGGCGTTTCTTGAAAGGCAACATCCAGCATCCATCACCCACCCCTCTCTTTACTTTTTTTGCCTACCCTTGTCTTTGAGGAACCCCGCCTAGGACTAGCGTTGAGAATGGAGTCAGAATTGAGGTACAAGATAAGAATACCAACACGTGATTTGCAGAGATTTCGGATGTTTGGATCTTCCTGCGATCCGTGTTGGTGGGTTGGTGGGGTCAATGAGTTATCAATATTGCTAGCTGAAATGGTGCAATCATCCATTGCCAGGTGAATTACTATATAGATGTGTAGATATGTGAAGAGGTTATTGGCAATGGCAACTCTCTTCTCTATTGCCACTGAAGATCATGCAATGTATGGATGATCAATTATCAAATGGTTCATGGTTTGGATTCTGCTTTCATTCAATTCAACAACCACCACTCGATTACTCGATGATGCTATTCATCTACAAAGCCAAAAGAACAATACCATCTCGCGGTATTGTTCTCAAGGGTCCATCCTTCATTGATCCTCTGTCAGCCTCTCTCTCTCTCTCTCTCTCTCTCTCTCTCTCTCTCTCTCTGTCTTCAGGATCTTCATTCATGATGACGGGCACACAAAACTGCAAAGACACGTAGACACCACCTAGTACCATCACCTAGGGATACCAAGTTCCTCTCTTCACTCCATGGATGAATGCATGTAGCGTATCTTCTGTGTGTATGTGTATCTGTATATCCATATATATGCACAACCGTAACACTACACACTACCTAATAGATACAATACTCTCCATGTTTCTGATTCATGAGCCTATGATCCATCAATAGGAGTACAAAAACAAACTCACCCAATACAAACGCGTAACCTCTTTCCACCCCTCAAACTCTACACAATACCTACACAATCATCTCGCCCAGTCTCAGCCAGGACCACCCCTCTACTCCGTAGATACTTCCTCACTCGCGCATGTTACATAACGGTAGATACACACCAACCACCAACCACCCCTCTATACACACACCTCTCAAATCCTCCTCCCTTCAATCCCATCCCATCCCATCCCATCCCATCCCATCCATCCCATCCCATCCATCCCTCCACCCATCCACCCATCCACCCATCCCTCCAATTCGCCCCCAAACTCCCAAACTCCCAAACTCCCAAATTCCCAAATTCCCAACCTTCCCCTCCCCACCAAAAAACCACCACCCACCACCCACCACCCACCAAACTCCAACCCCACTCTCCAAAACACCAAAACAACAATACCTAGGTAACCCTAACAATAAAAAAAAACCCCTTCGGCCCCCCAGCCCCGTTCCCCATCGGTCCCTGGAAATCGGCCTCCGAACATGCACCGCGACCCTTATGCATACCTTAGGTATGATACCTACCACTACCAGGAACATCAACCCTCCGGACTCATCTATTCTTTTTTTCTCTCTCTCTCTTCCTTTGATTTCTTCTGCAGCCACTACTTTTTTCTATTTTTCATTCAAGGTTTATCCCATTCATCACTCTACATTCGTTTTCTTTTGAAATCACACGAACACGAACATGGATTGATTGATTAGTCGATTGATCGTCACCATCACACACACACACAAATTCATCACCAAAAGCATATACAACACAATATGTTGGTCATAATCTTCATTAACATTTCTCTTTCCCGGCCATATCTTATCTTGCCTTGGATTTTGCCGCCTGGTATTGGTATCTAACTATTGTCCGTCCGTCCATTCATCCATCCATTCCTCCCCAACCCATTCCCGCCATCCTCATCTAATCATGTCCATGAATCCTCATCTAAAAAATCCCCTCCACTCATTCCACCGGTCAAAATACCAATTCCAGTGTATGACTTAATCAGAATCACAACAAGTCGAGTGCGAGCTCATCCCTATACCAATTGCTTTTGGGTGCCGTACAAATAACCCCTATCAATAATCTGAATGCACCACCTAGAGTTCCCACACCAAAATGCATGATTTCCTTTTCATATTCCACAACTCCATCCACCCCATCTTTCCCAACCATACCAGACCAGACATACCCTAATGACCCTCAACGCTCACTCATTCCTTTGAGCTTGTGGAATAAAAACAATACAAGATAGAATCAAAAAGAAGAAGAAAAAGATATGATGTACAATTCCCATTCGACCAGTATACAATTATAAGTATAAGAAGAGCTTTTTTTATCCTTCCCTGGGCCGAGTCTTGATACCCAAATGTGATGGTATTCAAGTATGTAAAAGTGTAATGTGAAACAATTCGAAAGTGACAGCCATAGCTTCCATGAGCCACCTGTCAAGAACGCCGTGTATAACTCCTAAGGGTAAAAAGATCATTCGCTAAAACGCTATTCAAAGTGCGGGGGGTATCAAATCAACTGAATATCATGATGATGTGTGTATAATGTGTTCCGAATCCGGAGTAAGTGCGAATGATGAAGGTCGAGAATAATATCAAAGAATGTTTAAATGGGTGTTTGTGCTTTATCCCTTGAATGAGTCCATCCAAAAAGATCAAATTTATCCTTTCCATGCAGAGAGCCGAAAGAAACTGCCGAGTCCACAGGACTGGGCTTCGTAACTAAGATATCGCGTGGCTCCAAAAGTAAAGACTTTCGATAATATTGCTGAACGTTCTCATTATCCGAGGCGGATTTGACGTGAACAATTTGAGCTTGAAGCCACTCTTGAAGTTCCGGAACTTCTGCCAGGCGATAAGGGATTTGAAAACGTTGTAGTTCGCCGATGATTTTAGCCGTGCGAGTGTGTTTGTCAAAGTTAATGACAGATGTGCCGTCAGCCAATTGCTTTGTGGATGGGTTACCAGCATCAACAAATGTCAAATCTGTGAGGTAGGTACCAACAAATGGAAGGCATGGAGGAACGTGGTCATGGAGTCTACGTCGAAGGCAGGCGTAATTCTTCTCTGGCTCCACAATTGCCTGTAGCCCCTTGAGCATTTCCTTTCGCCTTTGAGATACCAAGTCCCAGGTTTTCTTCAATCTAACAATAGTAGATGAATTAAGCGAGCAAATGATCGCCATCAACGAATCGTAATTGTTGAGCTTGAGACATTCATGCGCAATTTTGATCCAGTGCTTGATGATAATGGCCCTCTTCTTAACGTCATCGTGTTGCAAGATTGTGTCAGCGACAAGGTTAGAAAGATCTGTTGACAATGTCGACATAGCTCTAACGTTTACCGCGCATGAACTCTCCTTTCTGGCCTTAGTCCATGCGGCTCCAAGAAGTTCATCTGGCATAATGGAGCAGAAAATATTCATCTCCTTGATGGTTAATTGACGGGCCAATTCAAGGGGATCAAACTCGAGAATAGAGGGATTGCTACCACCCATTTTCCAATTCTTCAAAACTGCGGCTTGGCTTTTTGTTACAACAACAGGAGGGACTGGTACATCGGCTGGTACATATTGACCGAGAGATGTGCTAGTCTTTCCAATTGAGGAAACGAGCCTTGGCACTAGAGGTCCATCCATCGAAGATACCTTTTGAGCCAACTCTGAAAGTCGTTTGCCAGCTGCGGGAAGAGCAGCCTTAATTTTATCATCCGCAAAGGTTTCGATAATGGAGAGCGCAGCGTAATCAGACACCTTTCTCCAATGAGATTCCAGCCAGCCCTTGAATACATTGTAAACTCTCAATCTTACCGGTCCTGCGATATGAGGACTCTCGACAACATATTCAAAGCGATCAACCAGAGCTGTGGCAAGCTCAACGGGAGACGCGAATAATCTAAAAGTAAGATAAAAGGTTGAAACAAACATCGAGTCGGGTGTTGAATCGTGTGTAGTCAGCCGTTCTACTAATGCCGCCAGTGAGCCTCCGGTAATTTGACCTCCCTTGTTGTGTAGTAACTCGTGTGCGAACGTCTTCTCGAGCATTCTCGATTCGAGATCATATGGATCATCGGCAGATGTTGATTGGCTCTCAGCTATGCTGATACTTGACAAAGATGGCTGACTTCTTGGTTCGTAAGCTGTTAGATCTGGAGTAGTCGCCCTAGTAGAAGTCTGCGAGACCATGCTCATCTCCGAATCGCGTGTGTAACTACTGCTGGCTCCAGTGCTAGACACTGCGATACTGCCAGATCTATATGATTGAAATTCTCCATCACTTGTTGAGTTACGATCGGAAGGACTATAATCTTCTTGGCTCATCAGAGGAGCACCCATTTTTGGCAGTGGGGGTAGAATGGAGATGTTCGAAAGCCGACTCGACATTCGGTTGACTTCTACCGCTGGCGGAGAGTCAAGGGGTATTTCTGGCAATGGTTTCTCGTAAACATCTGGAATAACTAGAGGTGGTGGAGGAGGACGCGATGAAAGCTGTTCTGGTACGGCAGCATTAATTTCGGGGCTTCGTGCCGCTTGTTCGACTGTGCCACCTATCGAGGCAACATTAATTCCAAGACCTTCGACTGGTTCGAATTCGAAGTCGCCAATTCGCTCAATCACAAACTTGGTCTTTGCTACTACTTCTCCAGCAGCTTTAACACATCCTGTGGCCGCCATTAGTAACCCGCCATTTTGTTGAGCCATCACAACATCGTCTTCATCAACACCTGATGAGCTAATTATATCCCGAGCTGCCAACGCCAATTTACTGATTTTGTCATACATTGCGTTCCGAGCATTGGTCAACGAGTCGGCGCTTTGGCTGTCGTGAGCACATACTGCTTCAACTACAATCAATAAACCTTGGCCAGCAGTTACTGACTGCCTAACTGACGACAGCAAATCTTGAGAAGACTGGCTTTGTAGATGAAGCCTTCCGATGAACGATCCCAAATATGAGAGAAATGTATCGTGACTAGAGTTTAATCTCTCAGAAACAAGATTTTGGCGTTGTTCGGCGGGCACAGAGGCTATAAGTGAAACACGGTGAGATACGGAAGCCCTTTTAGCCTGAATCGAAGAAATGGATAATGGACGCGATGTTACAGCTGGGTACGCAGTCGATATCCGTTTGTATGACTGTCGTTTGTTCTGCTCTTCCGATTGCAGGGAACTAGAAGCGGCGCTCGTCGAACTTCGGATAGAGCTTCTGTGAGATGCCGTGTCGTATGCAGGGTCTGTATGCGGTGTCCCGCCAAATGACGTCGAGTCCGCTGGTGGAGTGGGTGGAACATAGGATTCCTCAGTAACGGTTGCCATGACTCTATGGACGACCTGTCGTAATTTCGCATCCTCATCCAAATTGTCCAAGAATTTTATACCTCTCACAACAATTTTGAAAGCTTTCAAAATCATCTCATCGATAATGTCGTTTACAGTTTCCGTGTTTGTTCCCACTGAGGAACAGGTAGCAAAATCCTGCAATTGTTTTGCGGTTTTGACCAGGGCCGATAGATCGGACAAAAGAGCCTTTCGATTCTTTCGGAGGTTATCGTTACTCTGTACAATCGGTGATTCACGAGTGAGGCAATTCGATTTTTCCTTTTTCCGTATTAGCAAGCATGATTCCAAAAAGTTACAAGATTCTTACTAGTAAATATCTAACTCCTGCGATAATACCTCGCATGAATTGTTGATTGCCAAATATCTCACTATCACTAGTTAAACCACTCCGTAGGAGATCCCAAAAGTTTAGCAATGCCTTTAATAAGTTCCTCATGGAATCTGGATCGTAGGCTTCACAATAGTTGGTGGGCAACCAACCACGCGCGCCAGAAACAAGTAGCGTCCCATCAGCCCAACCATTGGTGTGTATTGAATGCACCAAAACCACATCCCCTTCGTTTAGTGGAAGCGTGACCGTAGAATCCGAAATAGCATATTCAGGGTGGAAAGGGTAAAATGCCCTCAGGAAGCTGTGAAATACCGGAGGAGGCTCCATTTGGTTTAGATTTTCTTGAGAACCATTGGGAGTGGCGGGGGGCGTGATTTGTGATTGACTTCCTGTTGAAGTTGTGTGGTTACTACTTCTGGATGAAGTGTTTCTTTTGTGTTTTGAGGATGATGCGTTGCTGTTTCCGCGCGGTCGACCCTTATTTATTGTAAGAGGTGCTACCTGTGCACTCGTTCGCTTGGAATGCTCAGACTCCTGCGAGTTCACCATGATGATCCGCCTTTCAAAGATATCATGGGTGTTTTCCTATTAATATCCTAGTTGAATGGCTTGGGGTAGATCTGCAAACTACAGCTATATCGAATGTCCCAAAGACGACGTCCAGACTTTTAGTCCTAGGATTCGATATGACCCAGCGGGACAACAATCTGGAAGCTTTGCGATGCGATTGTAATGCTTTTGTTTTGATGATGTTTTTTCCCCAATGCTTCCTTTGTAGAATCGACCTCTATATTCGTCGAACGGTAAACACAATCTGATAATGATAGTGGAGATTAGCAAGAACCCTTTGGATAAGGATCGAGTGTTGTTTTGGTTATGGAGAGGAATGAGGAGCGGGGGATGTGTGGAATGTCATGTCATTCTGAGAAGCTTGACTGGGATGGAGAGGTGCATGCCAAAATTGGCTGAACCTTGGTCTCGGGAGAGACTTACCAATGAGCTAGTCGAAAAGACGATTCTCGTAAGTGAATACCAATACTCGAAAAAAGGAAAAGGCGATCGTTTTTCCTTGTGATGTTTCGTATTCAAGGAAGAAAAGTCGTGTATGTTTGATCTCTAGCTTAAATAATTAAGTCGTCGTTGTGGTGAGTGGTGTCGACTAGGAAAGCTTGGTTGACAAGAGTGGAGGACCCTGAATCGCAATAAACTTTATGCCACGCGGGAAAAGTTCATTAAAGTCGGGGATGTATTGAACTTTGACACCAGTTGACAGCAAAGCAGTTAGTGTATCAAGGCAAGAGTTCTAAGAACCCTTGATGTGCGGCCGTCGATTTGTCAATCACACTGGGGGGGTCTCGGATGCACTTATGTGGCTATGATTTTTGTGATGCTCCAAACGCGAGAAATCAATGCGTTGAAACTTGAATTGTCAAAAAAGGAAAATCGAGGAACTGGATCGAGACGGGGAACGGCAATACAATAAACCCCACCCTTTCCGCTCAGTTGTAAGTTGTAAGTAAGTTTTTTTGTTTGTAACTCTGGCGCAGCAAGAGTACAAAAGTAAAGGAAGGAGGGAAGGAAGGAAGAATATAGATATGTGTGTGTATGTGTGTGTGTATGTGTATGTGCGTGTATGCAGAATATGCAGGAAATCCAAATTGAATGATTGGAGAGGTGCAAGTAATAAGAAGTTTAAGGTGTTTAAGGTAAGGTACTTGTTCAGGTACTTGTATTTAAAACAAGGGACCTTCAAGGTTGTCAGGGTGGGTGAGTGGATGGTGTATTTTGGTGGTGTTAGGTGTTGGGTATTGGGTGTATGTATGCCCTTGGGTGTACGAGGAAGATGGTATGGATGGGATGGATGGTATGGTCTGGTCTGGTATGGTGTGGTATGGGATAGTATGGTATCGTACCCTATGTATGGACCGGTATGGATGATGCACAGATATAATGCAAGGGATCAAGGAATTGACTCGGTCGATCGATTTTTCTTCGCATATGCAACCCTTCCTTCTTCTCTTTTCTCTTTAATCAGGCTCTCAGAGAAAGGATTCAAAGGGTAACAAGTAGATGATAATTATTAATAAATGAACGAATGAACGAATGAACGAATGAACGAATGAACGAATGAACGAATGAACGAATGAACGAATGAACGAATGAACGAACAGATGAATGAACGGATGAACGAACAGATGAATGAACGGATGAGTGAATGAAGTGAAGTGAAGTGAAATAAAGTAAAGTAAGCCGACTTGAAGTTCGTGGAGAGAGATTGCTCGTTCGGAATCTTTCTCAGTTGATGGAAAGAGATCCAATCGGATTCGTAGACCGTTTTTATATCAAATGTAATCGATCGTTGGTCGCCTGTCGCTGTGTGGTATTTTTGGTGGTCGTATTTGGTTGTCGTTGGAGATGTCGATGTGTTGATGTTGACCTCAATGTCAATGTCAATGTCAAAATCAATATAATTGAAGTTGCAGTTGCAGTTGTAGTTGCAGTCGAAGTGAGTGTGGTGTGGTATTCAAGAGAACCGGTGGAAGGAATTCGCCCTCTTCCCTTTACTCCCACTTCCTCACCATCTATCGCTCACCCTCACTCTCGCTATCTATCGCTCTCACTCTCACTCTCGTTTTCTATTACTCAAGGACCACTATCTTCCTTTTGGCGGAGTTCCTAGGTTTGTACTTCTTCTCTTACCTTGCAATGAAATGGGTCCCCCAGATTTGGGAAATTGTGCACCGTGCAAACAAGAACTCTACCTGGGCAGCTGGAAATGTGGAATGCTGGTGGATGTCGCGGTGGATTTCGGAGCTCAGATTTTAATTCAAAGTTTTCTTTTGACGTTTGGTGTCGACATGTTTTGAAGGGAAAAAAGTACTCTCTAATATCCTGACAATGATTGATGTAAGATAATAACGGGATTGTAGCCCTTTCCACACTCTTCAACTCTTGCGATTAACTTTATTCTCTCTACCCTCTTCTCTGCTACTGGCATATCTTTTACTCTTTTAATCATTCTTATGAAAATATGAAAAAAACCTTAACCAGGATTTGTAATTGATTTTCCGATGATTGTCTGGTAACATAACGGTCCAAGGAGACGGTTGTAATAGTAATTACTCGTATGGATGTGAGGTCTTATTCCTCGGTGGCTTTCCAGTAGGGACGAAATGCTGTTCATAAAATAGCCATCCCCTATCAAATCATATCAAAAGTACGTTAATATCTCCTCCTCCTCCAATCATATGCACTTCCCAATCCACGGAGTAAACAGTAAGGGTACGAAAAGTAAGTTTTAATGATTAATCATTTAATTCTACGGAGTGCTCAGCGGCCATTCCATATTAACAAGGATGCTAGCTTTCTCTTCTGTTACTTCGACGACCGACTGACTGTTCGATAATTTGTGCCATTTTCCCTAGCTTCACTTGTGCAAACCTTGTCGCTGCTCTTTGCTTCTTTTCCCTCTTGTAGCTTGTGAGATGCACGCTCGGCACGTTAATCCAATTCGATATGATATGCAAGGGCTACTCGTGAGATTTAGTGGAGTGAGAGAACGCCGAAAGAGGGAGTGACGAAACGGCCGCACATACCAATTACAGAACTGTGCCTGGGCTGCGCTTTGCTTGATGGATGGTGTAGGATTCTCGGGTTTGCAAAGAACCAATTGATGGCAGCGAAAATGGCAAGGAGGCGATGAAGGGGTTACGAATTGCTGAACGAGAGAATGGGAGAGTGTTATGAATAAAGGTAAGAGAGAAGATTGAGAAGCACTCCCACGAATTGAACTGTTACGGGGCAGATTCAAATAAATTCAATATCAATGGCATTCGATTCTAGTCCGAGTTCTCTGCTTTCGTGAAAGATACCTATGACAGGGAAAAATCGAATGGAATGGGAGAAAGTCACGCCAGAGGGAGAGGTCCATCTGTCCGGTTTTGGCATTGTTGAGAGCGTCCGAGAGACCAGGCATTATGCGACAGGTTGACGGAACAAAAGCATCTGGCCATGATCAACCGCTTCTCGCATTCGAACTTTTCTTCAAGGCATGATATTGATGTCTGATCCCCTCCATGTGATGCGAAGAAAGACGTTGATTCTTCAGCTCTATGCTATGCTGCATTTCATGCTTGTTCAAGGAACGGTCAAGGAGTAAGTACAAGGCAAGGTATTCTATAGGTTGAATCGTGTGATATTGAAATTATATGTGCTTCACAATCTATTCTTCCTTTTCAGGCCAATGCTGAAGGGATAATCGAAGGAATTTCATCCACAGGGGCTCTTGATTGGTAGTAATCATCTAAATTCTTTCCCCCATTTCTGTCCTATTTGGGATAATACTCGGGGGTCTAACAGCTGCCCTTGAAAGGACCCTCCGAGGTGCCGGCGTACTGCACTCAATCGAGTCTTAGAACCTGCGTATCTTTTTGATATCTATCATGCCCTTGAAGTCCATAAGGCGCAGCGCAGTATCGTATCTGTCCCTAAGAATTGCCGAACGTATGAAAATGTTATGATTGTTCATCTAGACTGAGACAACTATGAGAAATGGGGACGGTATTTCCTGATTCCTGGAAACGAGAGAGAATCCAGTTGTGCAGCTTCACACGTGTGTAGTATAAGGGTACCAGAAAAGCCAACCTGTCTGCCTGCTTTCTTTCAAACTCTCATGCTCAGCTACAACAGGTACTCAACCATGGATTGGACCTCACACTAGACCCTACATGATGTATAGTACATAAACATACCCGGTATATATATATATATACATTGATGTCGTAGCAGATGAATTAAACAACATCCTTGGCTGGGAGCTATTCACGGCTTCATCTTTTTGTGTATCATTGACAGCCCTCACGATAATCTAGAGTTCGGAAGTATATCTGCCCAAAAGGCCATTTTTCCATCGTTTCCCAACAAATCATGTTACAAGTGTGGTTACAGCAGGCAAGTAAGTTTCAATATATCGATCGACGTGGGATATTTCTATCAGAACTCTTCTTTTGCTTCGATCCGATTGAATACAATCTGTATGCAGTGCGGTCATGGTGTGTGTGGTTGCCGCCATGCTTTTTCCCTTGACTTTGACTGTCAATGTTATGAGATTTTGTATCTCCGTCCCCACCGCCTCTTCCTTTCATTTTATCTTGGAGTCAAATTCCTGATCAAAGTGCACGGTCAAATGCGTTTCTAGGAAATTACTGACGTCTTCAATTTACGAGTTAATCAATCAGCAAAAGAAACATCTCGCCCACGAACCAACGTGCCAACGTTCAAGCACCTTCGCCCATATCCGAAAAGTTGGGGATTCCGTCGCCACCGGCTAGATTTGTCTCTTTTCGTATTCTCTTCTCTCGCAAGCAGCTGGGCGGGGGGTCGGGCTATTTCATCGGTTCGAGCTTGGAGCTTCTCCAAGGTTTGTGAGACATTTCTAGGATTTTCCAGGATTTCCATATCCTAGCCATCTGAGTCCATCGCCGTTCCATGCAGCCTCACTGCAGCCAATTTTGGAAACTGGCGCACGTTCCCCAGGATTATTTCGGGGGTCGGTCCCATATGAGGAAACAACATCCACCTTCAAAATGCCAACCTTTTCTTGATCCAGTAAACGGCACGGTTCGGGATGAGAAAGCATCAATCCAAAGGTCGAAAATGGTTGGTTCACTGCTCGGGATTGTTACCTTATGGTTACAATCCGTCAACCTACTTCCTTCCGACTGGCTTGGGTCGCTATCAGATATCTTCAACACAACGTTCACAGATTCTGATACTGTACCGATGCTGACAATTGTCCGAACGCGTCACCACGGCATCATGATTCTGGATTCTGTCCGTCTTGCTTGTCTTTGTCTAACATGACCTTGTTTTCGACACACGTGGAGGAACTCAAGGTGATCGAGTTGCGAATAAACACGTGCTATCACACTCTTCTATTGATCAGTTTCCGCAGTGTTTAATATAATTATGAGTCTATATGCTTGGACGAGCTCTCCCATAGCTTCATTTTTGACAGCGGGTAAGGATATTAGCATGGAAGGACAGCACAAGTTCAGTCACCGACTTTTACCATTTCGGAAAATCAAAATCCTCACGCCTTGATATGCTGGACTACCTTCTGCATAGAGCACATCACTTGCTCACTTATTCATGTTAAGCAAAATTATGGGATCAATGTGGATAGGATCTCCATGATCATCTACGACTTTATTTTCTATTCAATGGGCATTATGGAGACTTGATTCGCGCTTAGACAAATTTACATGTAGACCTACATCAGATTCTCACGTAGGCGCCGTTACGTCCGACTGGAAATGTTTTGGGTGTTAAAACGGGTCAAAAACATGACGATCTTCCACCGACATGATGATGTGATGTAATGTGAAGCAAGCAAACAAGAGCCAAGAGAAACGAGCAACCTCAGTGTTGATAACAATTAGCAGAAGCAGGGGAAATCCAAGCTCCGGAACTCCAAATTCATTGAGATTTGTTCTCGCACCCGTCATGTTAAGAATTTATGTGATGAGACGCTGTATCGTTACTATCTAATAATGGTCATCGAGATGAAAACATTCACATCCACTCATTCTTCAATTATCTTCACATCATCATCACAGACGGCCCGCAGTACGTGATCATACCGTGCAAACCCAATTAAACCCCACGCGAACAGGTATCTGATCAACCATAATCGTCGAGCAGCATTATCACCTTGCATACCTTACCATCTACACTACACGACATGAGCCCACCCACCACGATCAGGCTGGAGACTCAAAAGCATGTGGGACTGGAATGGTTTCCAATGTTAACATGACAAGGCAAGGTCTTTGGAAAGGGGGAAGTAAAACCCAAGAACATCCCCCGTTCCGAGAAAGCAGTCATGATTATCATCATGATGTTATGTTTCCGAATCCTTTCGGAGCAAAGCAGTGATATTTGAGCTTGACATGGGACGGACGATTTTGGGGTTTCCCCTCCTACCTCTATCTGTAACAGATGCGCCACCAACATACATACATAACGAATTACCACACCTTTCGAGACCTTTTCCTCCCGCTTCCACACGGTACAGCGAGAACGAATGGAAGGATTTCCAGAACGTGGGATGCGTGCAGCTCGGCTTGAACCTCTACTTCCTTTCCTCCCGAAGACGTTGAAATTTGAA